ATCTATCTGCTCGAAAGCTAAATCTGTTGACGTGTGCATGCAGTTCCGGAACTTATACAGAGAAACTTTTGTCAGAATTTTGACTGTATTTTATACAGTTTTCAATCCCGTCATATCAGACTCGGCTAAAATAATGAATGTTATTGTGGAACACTTCGGACGTACATTTCTTGTGGATGGTTGCATTTCTGTGATGAACAAAACAAAAGAGTAGAATTTAGAAGGAGGGAGGGAGGTGAGAGTGGAGTCGCCCAGAGCGAGGGAAAATCACCGTTAAAGGTGGGGGACGTTAAACATGATTGATAGCGTGTCAGATATTAATTGAAATATGCACCTTGGCCAGACCTGGCGCCCGAGGTGCTGGAGACGTATGCAAGTTTTATTAAGGGAGAAGGTTTTCTTGAATGTTAATGCAGTGAGATCGTGTTGGGACCACTGCGTTAAGCTTATAAATGAATACGATCCCGACAGCAGAGAAGGACTATCAGGCCAAGGTAGCTATGTATTGCTCGTTTCCGTTGTAGGGAAGATCTGCGAAGACATACTGTCTTCGCGACTTCTTACTGTCTTCTTACCGATGGGTATATTTTAAGGTTATATCTTGTACTGCAAGGGTGGGCCCACGGATTGGTCGAGGTGGCTCACTATCCCATTCATTGACCAATGTTAATTATTTACATAATAGAAATAATTTCAAAATTTGAATGGAGTTCCCCGAATAACCGTACGACGTCAATGAATAATTGTAAATCTTGATTCATTGCTACATAATCTTTGGTCTCTGTATGCATTGATTGGAAAGCCTCCCCTTCCCCGCCCCCCTCCCCCCAAAAAAATCTCGGACTGAAACACCCCAGCTACCTTCTTTGAATAAACCCAGGATCCACCACTGAACTATCAGGCTTCCAGAAATTGTTCTCCAGCCAGAATGTGGGAGTAAACACCACTCTTAACTCTGTACACCTGTTTCCTCAATCGCATAAACCGGGGGCTGATCGGACGGGCCCAATCTTTCCAGGGTAAACACAGGGTGTCAGTCGGCAAACAAGACGCCTTTCTTCCCTGTCTTGTTCAATTTTACCGAAGAATTTTGTTTGGTCGAGGGTGGGGTGAGGACAAACATGCTACCGGCTGCTTGATGTGTGTGGCATATTTTTCTTTTTATCATATTTTTTTGTCATGGTGGCAGCGGCTTGCTAAGCCGAGCCTATACTTTTATCTCTTTGTGGTTGCTTGTTGCTGGTCGAATGTAGAAGGTCTGCCTAGTATCCTCTTTGTCTTCGTGTCTTCTCTGACTGCCACTGGTTTCGCAACCCGTCTCAGTTAAGACTTAAGACCCAATGATCGAAGAAGGAGTTTGCCCCGGTGTTTCTGGCAGTGGCTGCAATATCATAAACTTCCATTACCTGTCTTGAATAATAGACATAATTTCCAGCGCCTTGAGTACCTAATTGATGGTAGATACGTGCGCTATATATTATAAAAAGATTCCTGTATTATTAAGAGAAGTTTACTATCATCACAGTTTCTTGCCTTTTGCAAAGATTCAGCAAAAGTTTTCAACAGTTTCATGTACATTTTCCTGGTTTCTCCCAAACCCGTCAGATTGACCCGGATTCAGAGTTCCACTTGGTTTAACCCTTTTCCGGGTCAAAAACGACATATTTCCGAGTTATAATGGCCCGGAAGTTGTCATTTATGACCCGGAAATTTGCCTTTTGATCCGGAAAAAGGGTTTAGACCAATTCCAGGTTCTACTTTGTCTAACCCTTTTTCGGCTCAAAATGACCCGGAAATTTGTAATTTTTGACCTCTAAAAGACTCACTTTTGACCCAGATTCTGGGTCAATCTGACCCTTTTTTAAAATTATTATTATTTATTTTTTTTAATGTAGAGGCTCTTTTTTTGTTTAGGGTCACAGTCTTTCTCTTGTTATTCTTGGCTTCAAATAAAGTTGAACCGGATCTGAGTTTGATGAATTTCGATTTGGTATATGCATCGGCAACTCCACTATAATGTTACATGAAATTATTTCAGTTTTGTAGGTTGTATTTGTTTTGACATTTTTACATTTTCAGATTTTATTAGAGATACTTCTGGGCTTATTCATTGTAAAAAGAAGTTGAAAAAGGGGTGAGGGTGACACAGCTATCTGAAGACGATTCCATGGCCTCTTCATTTGTTTTCTTCCCGAGAGAGATGCTTTGATTTCAACCCGATCCCCGCGTTAACCCGCGTACAAACAAGCACACTGGGACCATCACACGGCCACGCGGCTCTATTCATCCTCGTTCAAACAAAACTTCATTAAAAAAGGTGCAGGCTAGATTAATATCCATTCCCCGCTGACAGGATCTGACGTGTTGGTCTTCGTCTCTCCCTACACACCTATATTGTTCCTAGGTTTGCCTATAAACACAAAGCCCTTTTATGACCAAGATTTCAAGTTGGGTTTTCTTTCCGAGGCGTTGATCACACAGCGTGTTTTGTCGTCTTCCTCCGCCGTACGCCCGGGCTGTGGACATTGCGTCGAGCCCCGCTGATGATACGCCCACATCTCCAACACCGCGGAAAACAAAAACGAGGCAGGATGCCTCGTCGTATACACACCGTTTTCACAAAGAACAAGGCGGCGTGGTGTAGTTTGCCGAGCCGCTTTCAGCGGAGAATTCCTGTTAATTTTAGCACAGGAAGCTGTTTTGAAGCTGGCTGGCTGTGTGTGTACATGTACGGCTCTTGGGTTTGTTTTGAGCGGCCCGCGCGAGGCCTACCTCCCCGGTCCAGCCTCTGATGACCCGGCTTGCTACACCGGGTTTCTCTCGGTAGGGGAAGTGTGAGCTGCGCGATCCGTGCTCGGCTGCTTCCGCCTGCGAACCGCCACAGTCAATGAGCCGCTTGTTTGGAGTGGTTTTTGTATCCACAATTCGTTCAATAGATGATGAAAATTGGCTCTTGTGTTTTCTTGTTCAGTCCCGCACTGTCGTGGCCAATTCGCCTTAAAGTCATTACATGTACATGGGAATGAGATTTTATTTATTTCACTTCTCCCTAGGCACCACAAATTGGTGTGCTAAAAGGTGTCCCACGAGTGACCCTTTACAACTTTCATCCTACAAATTCAACTGAATTCGTTAAAATTATCTCAAAGTGTATAAATGCCATATGGATACTAATGTATTGGTTTAGCAAGAAACTTGGCAGTTGGTAAAAACAAGTTGACTAAAAACCCTCATCTTTCAACACATGGGTTGCAAGAAACACTGCCATTGACCCTAACCCTAGGCCCTTTTGGCTAGGAACTATCCTCAGTCCTTCAAAATCCTTCAATTGCTACCATGTAACAATTGGATTTGGCCTCAATCTTCCAAAATCATCTGGCATTTCTTGCATTTGTTCAGTGGAGGGGTGACCATTGCCTCAATCCTTCAAAATCCTCCAACAATCACTGTTAATAGGTTGAGGCAGTGCCAATGACATTCAGAAGCAGTGCGGATGACAGCAAGCATGGTGCAGGGCTCAATTATGCATGACCGAACAAAAACAATTTTGGGAACAGCCTATAAACTCGAACCAATGCTTCCTCCAAAATCAACCAACACTTATGTTTGCCATTCAGACGCAATCCCCTAAAATCTTCCTAAGCCCGGAGGATTTTGGAGGATTGAGAAGGGTTAGCGTTAATTGAGGTCATTTCTGATACATGTTTTATAAGATTTCTTGAACATTAAAAAAAAAAATGTGATTTGCGTGCTTGCCATACAAACAAATAAGAAGTGTTTTCATTGGGGCATAACCGTTTTCATATCACAAATGCCTCTGTACAAAAAAATAAATGTTGCCGCACCATCGCATCACACTGGCACTAAATTCACAAAAACCAAATATATTAAATCTGCCTATCCCCGCTAAAACATATTTTCGTAGCGTTCAGATTTAACAAATGATTCAAGCCTGCAAATTCTAGATACGTACACAGTTCCCTTTAATGAAGCCTACGGGGTTGGTAAACAAACGGGCCAAATGAAAGTAGGGGGGAAATATGCAAACACAAGTATCGATCGGGAAAATCCAGGTTTTTTGGGGGTGAATCTAAATTTAATCTGCTTTGCGCCTAGTTTAACGCTGCAGTTTTGTGCTAATATTAATTCTACCAATATATACGGCTGGCGTGTATTCACCTGTATCGCGGTATACAAATTACACACACGCGCATGGACCATCCCGTCCGATACGTTTCCGTAGTAGCTCAACAACCAAATAAAATGCTTTAATTAACAAGTTTTCCCTCCTTTTTATTCTTGAAATTGAAATTTAAGACACGGAGTTGTTTTCCTTCGTAGCTGTCATGAAGTGCGAGTTCTTTGTGTCGCTGTTTATATTCCTATTCTATGTTACCAAAGTAAAGGCTTTATTCTTCGCAATATTACCACAATTTGGGTTGTAAACAGTGCGCTATTAACTACTAATAGCAAACTAAAGCAACAACACTAAAGCTGCTCGACTGTTTATTTTAATGCCACAGTTGACCCATTTCTTTACTGTTATTTCTGTGTGAATTTAGCATCCGATCACGGAATGTGTACGTTTGTGCCACGTGACTAGCAAATATTTAACAAACCGACAGCCATAACAAATACACACAAAGAACATTTGGCAGTGAACCAACATCAGAAATACTAACGTACTCTAAATTTGTTAACCAAGTTTTCAACGTTGAACTAAAGAATTTGACAGGAGTGGGGTGGGGTTTGAACCTGCGACCTCCGGATCGGCGTTCCGGTGCTCTACCAACTGAGCCATCCTGCCCTATGTTGGTGGTTCCCCATTTTGTCAGTGTCTTTGTTCAAGGGGCGCTAGTCAGAAGCCATAAACCTGTATATCCTATGTAGCCAGGGATCACGCCCAACGGATGCTAGCAACATTAGCAATGCTGCAGACCCAGGAATTTCTGAAATGTTCTTAAAATGATGCTTATTTTCATTTTTTTCACATGTTTTCCAGGACTTGGGGACTCGTGGGGCAGTCGGATTCCACCCTCCCCCGTGGACAGTATGGCGAAGGAGCTGGGAGCTCATCTATTACAGGTAGGACAAAAATATACAATGATTTCATAAAATGAAACAATTATCAAACAAGAGTATTTCTTATACCGGGATATGTCTTTTCATGCATCTGGTCTGCACAATGGGCCAGATTGCGGGGTAATCCCTATACGATAGCACTGCTCAGATCACATGTGACCGTTGGGGAGTCAGTCAGTCAGTCAGTCAGTCAGCATCGAGGACCCTAGGCTAGCCCTCTGGGATCGGCAAACAACATCTGATTTTGACAGGGACGATTCGTCATTGTCTTGGAGCTCACTGTCATCACCAATGCGAAAACCCACTATGCTGAATCATTGTCCTTTCTCCCTCCCAGACTCTGGATGGCTTCATCTTCGTGGTTTCTCCCGACGGAAAAATCATCTACATCTCCGAGACGGCGTCAGTGCATCTCGGGCTCTCACAGGTAAGATTCCCTCAACAAAAGACCCAGCAATCCACCTTAGAATCGATACTGCTCACTTCGAGATCGCAGTTTGCAAAACCGAATACTCGCTTTTGGGAAGCCAGACGTTAGCCCATTCATCAGAATGATGAATGGCCTTCGCGCTTCCCAGTAACATGGGATTAGACTGTATAGTTCCCCGCCTTTACAAATCCCCACCGCCGCTGGCAGACCGTACCCCATTCGCACCGGAGTATGCCTCCACAAAAGGAAAAGCGTGTCAAGTGGACTTCTTAGCCTAGAAAAAAAATCCACTTCTCTTTGTGACGATATTAGCAATCCACTTTTAAATGACCTTTGTATAAGACATCCACGTTGGACAGGGAAACAAGTGGGAAAATAGTTTGTCGTTGGTCCTTTTTTTTCAGACAAACACAAAAACGAGAGCCGCCCTATACACTGCAAGTCCGACTGACGTGAAGTCTGACCCAGTTTTGTCAAGAGCAGTGTGGGGCAGTTCTAGATCAAGGTTGCAGGCACAATGGGCGCTTGTCGGTGGTGTGTTGTTCACCAAGCCTGAATGGCTCGAAAGATAAAAAACAGGTTTACCTTTTGTGACGCTGTGAAAGCCATGGACTTTTATGCCAAACGAAAATGTGGACGGCTCGCAGGCCCATGTGTTTGCATACTCTGATGAAGTAGGCCTATATACATTGGTGTCGGTATTTCTTACCAAATAAAACCTGTACCATGTAATCATCTTTGGCATGTTGGCCTCGATTGTAGATGAAAGACGGTTTCGAAGACTTATTAATAAGCATAGAATCATAAATTTGGATGGCACCACAAGTTTAAACTGTCAGACTAAATGTTGTCATGATTTGTTTCTTTAACCCTAACTTCCTAGGGGGTGTGCAAAATCGTTTTGAAATTGGAGGATTCAGGACTGTTAGGGATGTGTCAGAACGCTGTATATATCTTTTTCAAGAACAAAAAGGTGGCGGGCCTATCTTTGGTCCGCTTAGAGGGCAGGGTTCTGTGCTTCGTGTTGAGAAGTCTGGAATTAAATATACTTTAGCTTCTGTGATATTTAACAATTTCCAGCAGGAAGCGGAGGCTTTGGTTGGCTAAACTTGCGGCGACATCCCTCAAATTTCAGAGCGGAAGACTCACAATTCCGTTTTTTTACTTCTGACCTGTGGCTTCATAGGCCTAGGCTACTTGTTAACGTTTTCGAAAGTTACTTTTTGACCTTATAATTGAACAGGACAACTTTTTTTAATCCGACTGAGGCAGAATATTAGTTGAGAAATAAAAGTAAGGACAATTGTTTTGATTGACTGATAGTATGTGTAATGCGATGTTTGTGAAGGGCCAGACCTCATACTTTGCCCTTCAGGAAAATAAAGGGCTATAAATCTTCTGTTCCTTCTCATCCATGCTATATCTAGCGTGGATAGCATGTGACTGTTATAAATTTGAGGGTAGCCTTGTTGCATCACAAGTCATCATAAAGTCCAGTCACATATTACAAGTCCAGTCACAAGTCCAGTCACAAGTCCAGTCACAAGTCCATCACCAGTCCAGTCACAAGTCCAGTCACAAGTCCATCACACGTCCAGTCACAAGTCCAGTCACAAGTCCAGTCACACGTCCAGTCACAAGTCCAGTCACAAGTCTATCACAAGTCCATCACAAGACCAGTCACAAGTCCAGTTTCAAGTCCAGTCACAAGTTCAGTCACAAGTCCAGTCACAAGTCCAGTCACAAGTCCAGTCACAAGTCCAGTCATAACTTCAGTCATAACTCCAATCAAAAGAAACAGTGGATGAACAATAACAAAGGAATGCCTTTGTCAAAGCTCATTGGTATAGCTTGTGAGTTGAATTGGGACTGGGGGACTATGTGATGGACTTGCATGCATGGACTTGCAGGGACTCGTGATGGACGCGACTACATCCCTGCTCGAGGGCCAGGCCTGACTGCTGGCTGCGAGTGTTGGTATTGGGAGCATTCAGTGGAATGCAGTCAAGGTAAACGACCAAATCCCATGCTTTAACTTGGTCATAAGGCAATGGATATAAGTCTATATGTGCTATCTACCGTAGATAGCATGGCTCGCGACTGTCAACTCTAGGTGCCTGCCGTGACTGCTAGCTTCCCAACGGTTGACTTTGTTCGGTCAAGCGTCTCAATCAGCCATCGGCTCTGCACTTTCACATCGCCCGGGCCATCCCACCGGTGCTTCCGTGTTGCACGCCAGCCAGATCCCTCCCAATAACCCCCAGCCCCTCGCTACCCTCCGAAGCCGGAAAACGCTTACACCATCGCAGGGCGGAGAGGTGATATTAGGGTTTAATGTAGCGTGGTGACAATCGCGGGCTGAATGTAGGTCAGGCCAGTGCTGAACGTAAATACTGCCCGTCGGCCGGCCCATATCTTCAGGGGGACATAGGTTGCCTCTTGTTGCGTCAACACCGTTCAGCGGTATATGTTATTCCTGTGGATTCCGTCCTTAATTTTGGAAAACCCCGAGCCGCCAATCATTTCAATCAATGCAAGCCTCGCTTTGACCGATACCCCCCGCGAACTCCTCACTATATCACCGGCTTCCCTACTGCGTATTTCACACAGCAGGTGAACCCAAGCGAGCTTGTTCTGGGAGGAGAAATTAGGTCAGAGTGACCGCCTGATTTGATAAACGCAAAATGTTATTGACGCCTCTCATAAATTAGAGCACAAATCGGCTTTCCCTCCGACACCGCGACGCGTGAACTGTCCGCCTATATTAGCTGGGGTATAACAATAACATTGCCGAGCAATAGTAATCCAATGGCTGCTGTGGTAGTGAAGTCACGAGAAAGGCTGCTAAATATATCGCTATAAACGGCTCAGTCTTGCAGGCGAATGTATTAAAGTAAATGACATCTATCATAAGCAAAAGGGGTCGATACAATACGTATCCTCGAAGCTGAAGGTTCACTAGTGCATGCACAGGGATCTTCACAACATTTTACATTAACCATTTCTCGCAAGTTCTTCAGTCTTTTACCCATTGGTAATAACAAGCCACAAACCATCTATTAATGTAACGGATAAATCGGAAATGTCTAATAGGCTTTTTTTTCACGAGTCGGCTAGATTACATTGAAAGCCAGGTAAAATCTGCAGTTTTGGAACTTTCAAATAGAAATGAAAGCAATGAAATAAAATAAAATTACAAACTAATAGTACAAGTCTGCTCTGATGAATAATGTAAAATATGTGATTAAACATAACCTTATGTTTTAAGCCACATTAACAAAAAATACAGTGAGGCTTGGAACGCATTAATAAACAGTCTGGCGCCAGCCCATTCAACAGTTTACCATTTATAAAATACAGCCAGGGAACACGATCAAAAATGGCTTCTTCGTGAATAAGGTCTATATTGCGTTCACAATTAGGCACAGGGATTTTTGGCCGCACAAACTGTCCCATAATACAGTGCAACATGCATCCTCACTGCAAATTTCCGGTTTGGTGACTACCCGTTATTGTCCCCCTACATTCTTCAGCAATGCTGTCATTTTCCAATTTGCATAAAGAAAGCAAAGGCAGGGGCCGAAGAGAGGGTCTTGGAATGGTCAGAGATTTCGCTGGCCCCAGACGGCCAGCCTAGTGTCCTCGTAGCACCAATCTCAGTCACTGACTGACTGTCTGACTGACTGAATGTCCATCACGTGTCACTTAGACTGGTGAAGAGAATCGGGCAGTGCTATCGTATAGGATTACCCGCCAATGAATGGTTAAATCCGGCCCATTAAGACCAGATGCATGAAAAGACTTCCAGTGAATCGCCACTCTGAATCAAATGAAAACAATTCTGTGCACTCTGAGCCCAGTCTTGGCTTGCTTCGTATCCTGTGTCCATTTCTGTTCCTCCAATTTTTCTTTCCTTGATCTGACCCCATCCACCGACAATCCACCAATGGCGCCAATGCTAGATGGAAGAATGACCCAAAATGCCAATCACTCACCCGCCAATGTAAAATGGTTGCCAATCTGGGTTAAGCCCGGCCAAATCCAATTGTAAGGCTCAACCCCTCACTACGCCAGTCGCTATCACAACCAATTTGTCATCGAGATATGAGTAACCAATCTCAGACTTGACTTCGGGGAGACGGGGGTGTTCCTGTTCCGTAGTATCCTTGTGGTGTGACCACAGGATACCAGGGAACGTGTAGTTGATATTTTTTGTAGCCATTTCCCAAAGCTCGGTTTCGACTTCAGCTGTGGCTGAGATCATTTCGAAACGGTCACCGATTGCATGGACAAAAAGCTTTCTTCCAAACTTAGGCACCACATTATTGATACCATGTTTTTGTTCGCAGAAGAACGTAGTTTTATTTAGCCAAAGGTTCTCGATTCTGCGACGCTCAAGCTAGGAGCTAAATCGGGGACGAGGCCCGGGTTTTGAAAATACCAAGTCCAAATCGCATGTTGAAAATGGCCTTTCATACACTACTAAAAAAATATCTTTTATTTTAATCCCACTCCTTGTGGAACTCTTTGATCCAACTCACGTGTCGTAGTACGTAGGTTCGAACCCTGGCGGGGAACATGGTGCTTGTGTTCTTAGGCAAGACACTTTACTACATTGCCTCTCTCTACCCATGGTATGTGGGTTCAAACCTGGCATGGAACATGGTGATTGTGTTCTTAGGCAAGACACTTTACTACATTGCCTCTCTCTACCCATGGTATGTGGGTTCAAACCTGGCATGGAACATGGTGCTTGCGTTCTTAGGCAAGACACTTTACTACATTGCCTCTCTCTACCCATGGTATGTGGGTTCAAACCCGGCATGGAACATGGTGATTGTGTTCTTAGGCAAGACACTTTACTACATTGCCTCTCTCTACCCATGGTATGTGGGTTCAAACCCGGCATGGAACATGGTGATTGTGTTCTTAGGCAAGACACTTTACTACATTGCCTCTCTCTACCCATGGTATGTGGGTTCAAACCCGGCATGGAACATGGTGATTGTGTTCTTAGGCAAGACACTTTACTACATTGCCTCTCTCTACCCATGGTATGTGGGTTCAAACCCGGCATGGAACATGGTGATTGTGTTCTTAGGCAAGGCACTTTACTACATTGCCTCTCTCTTCCCATGGTATGTGGGTTCAAACCCGGCATGGAACATGGTGCTTGTGTTCTTAGGCAAGACATTTTACTACATTGCCTCTCTCTACCCATGGTATGTTGGTTCAAACCCGGCATGGAACATGGTGATTGTGTTCTTAGGCAAGATACTTTACTACATCGCCTCTGTCCACCCAGGAGTATAAATGGGTACAATTGTGAAGGTAGAGACTAGAATGCACTGATCTCGAGCTGCTGCAAAAACTGGTCTCATGACCTGATGAACAGGGGTAATAATTGTGAAGTGCTTTGAGACTTTTGGTATAAAGTGCTATACATGTATAACACCACATTATTGTTATTATATTATCATTATATTATTATTTTTTAGGTTGAGCTAACAGGCAACAGCATCTACGAGTACATCCATCCAGCGGATCACGATGAAATGACCGCCCTGCTGACGGCCCATCAGCCCTACCACACCCATGTACTCTCAGGTAGCTAAGAAATCGCATGACATAATGACCCAACCTTACCTATAGCGGAGTAGGATCCTAGTGCCTAAATTATTTCGGTATGGTGTGCAAAATTTATCTATAAACGGGTACTTAAAATAGTTTCAAAGGATGCTTTTCGGATGTTAGATACTCAACTTTTCATTCAATATGTGACTCAGTCAAGTTGATATCTCGCTGTATGTGAACATTATGTGGATGAAAATACAGACTCCGGAAAACTCAGACTAACTTTATTGGATATGCTCACACTTTAGAGCAGACCAAACGACCGGTAATAACAAGGGCGCCATCTCTTGATAAAATACTAACAAGACTTTTGGATTCTTTCATTTTTTGTCTCGTAGATTATGAGATAGAGAGGCAGTTCTTTCTGCGGATGAAATGCGTGTTGGCCAAACGCAATGCCGGTCTAACGTCGGGCGGCTACAAGGTACAAAAAAACTTAATTGATGGTATATAATAATGATGACAAAAGAGGAGGAACTTAAGACTTCGTTGTGGACGCTAGAGGGCAGCAAACACGGTTTCCAACAGTGTGTCCTTTCTGAGATTCCTAAGTCTTCTTCATGAGCATTATATCTTTAGCAGTAGATACTGTTATTCCGTCTCAAAATGATCAAATGGTTAGCATTTATAAAAGGGTACTCGTTTGATATCTCTACTTCAATTGAAGAAAAAAGACGCTGAGAAAAAACTCCTCTTTTATTTGATTTAGCGTTAAACAACAACAAATGACATGAGCGAGATTTGAAACTGCTATCCCTAAAAAAAAAAACCACAGACGCTCTAGCAACCGAGCAATGTTGCTCTGTATTGATAATTTCGCAGTATATGTCAAATCTTCGACCATACGGTGGTATATAATTACAGCATATGTTGATCATCACATCTTTGACCAAATGGTCCTTTACTAATCATGATCTGTTGTGACCGAGCTCTTCGTGAATGCTTTCAGCTTAGGTCATGTATTGCGTGCACCTATACTTCACCTCTCATGTGCTTTTGGGTTACAGCGGCATGCGACTCTTAGGCCCATCTTTGTTCCTTATTTGTGTATCTATTTACTGTGAGATTCTTCCAGCATTGGACGACTTCCATTAAAAAAGGTCATCGTTCAAGAGACGCTAGCCTGGTTCCTAAAATGAAACTATATCCATTGTCATAGAACCACCTTTATTAACAAAATGTTACTGTCTCCCCGACTTAAGGTAATTCATTGCTACGGCTACCTGAAGATCAAGCAGTACTCCATGGACGTGGCCCCGTACGATGGATGCTACCAGAACGTCGGCCTGATCGCTGTGGGTCACTCCCTGCCGCCCAGCTCGCTCACGGAGGTCAAGATGTACAACAACATGTTCATGTTCAGGGCCAGTCTGGACATGAAGCTGATATTCCTGGACGGAAAGTGAGTCTTAGACCGATTCTGATTGAAGAGTTTGTTTAAATCGAGTCCACCACAAAGCAACTTGGCCCCTCTCAATTCGTATCCAGGAGGTCCTGACAAGTTGCGGGAAGAATCGTTCACATTTTCCGGAAGAAGCTCTGCATTTGTCCCGGACATGTTCCGGGAAAATTTTCATTAACAACTGCTTGACTCACTAATACTGATAACTTCACTGCGGGAAGATTGCGGGGAAGTTGTTCAGAATCCTGCAACTTATACCCGATATAATGTCCGCAACTTGTCTGAAACTCAGGCCCTTACAAGTCAATGGCAAGTAAGGTCACAGCCACAGGTAAAATGAACAATAACAAACACATGAATTCGTCATACGGTTCATCAAGTTGGTCTTTGTACTTGAAAGTGAATAATTTATGATTGACTTGCTAGCATAAATCTGTGAGATTTGCCGAGCTTCAGGGGGAAAGTCTTAAGGAGAATTTAGCCGTCACAGCTAATTTAAAATAAACAAGAACCGACTTTAACGAGCATTTATAAGTTCCCATGTCTATATATCAACCAATATATTAGTGTCTGTGTGTTACACTGAAGAAGATGTCGCAGTTTCAATTTCGTTACTTCAGGACTAATAAAAGAGAAAATAATATTAATAATGACATTTCGATTTAAGGATATACTCTCTTCAATGTAATGACAATTTGATCTGAAAACTATTTTGGGCCAGCTCGGTGCAACAGAAAACAAGTTACAAATACCATTTTCTATTCAGTACGGAAAATATACAATGAATGGAATCTCGTGGGAAGCTAAAACGATGACTGTCATTTTCAGCTTCGGTCATCTTAACAAATGTATTATCTAAAGTCCTGTGATTTGTCCCATTACTTGACAGAGTGGCGCAGTTGACCGGGTACGAGCCGCAGGACCTCATCGAGAAAACGCTGTACCAATTCCTTCACGCAACTGATATATTGCACATCCGCTATGCCCATCACACGTGTAAGTAGCCTACAGCCTCCATTGGTATACATCCCACCATTTCTCATCTTTTCTTTTTCGAATTTGTCTTCAGGTCGTGGTATCAAAATTTATTGCAAACTCGGAATCTTTAGTCTCCGTACCTCACAGCACGCAATGCCTATTATTTCCTGTACTGCCCAAAATAGTCCGCATTCGTTTTCTCGTTATTGATTGATCGGGAATGAATACAATTCAGTGTAGTACAGGTGGGGAGTGTAGCCTAGTGGTTAGGGTTCGTGACTTATGATCAGAGGGTCAGGGGTTCGAATCCAGCTGTGGCCATTTGTTGTGGCCTTGGGCAAGCTACTTCACCCCCACTTGCCTCTCTCCACCCAGGAGTGTAAATGGGTACCGGCATTAGCTGGGGAGTAACCTGCAATGGACCGGCATCCCATCCATGCGGAATAGAAATATTCTCAGTCGTTTCATGCCAAGGAAACTGGAGATAAACGCCGACCTGATGGACAATGCTGCTTCGTGACAGTCTTTCCTTTACTTACAGCTGCTAATGAGTTGAAGTACGTTTGTAATAAACAAAGTGTAGAGATTGTAGATTTAAATTTTGATGTCTATCTCTCCTACAGTGCTAGTGAAGGGTCAAGTGACGACCAAGTACTACCGGTTCCTGGCTAAGCATGGCGGCTGGGTTTGGATGCAGAGCTCGGCGACCATCGTGCACAACAGCAGGTCATCGCGCCCTCATTGTATCGTCAGTGTCAACACTGTCCTCAGGTGAGTGAAAGGGCCTCGGAGCTCTGCGCCATGCCTGACTATGGAGGGCGCCGATCTGTACCTGACTATTGAGGGCGCTAGTGTAGCAACCTGATTTAGACCGCATGTGTATTTTAGAAATTACCACGGGTAAGATTCGTGATTCTAAACAGTAAGGATGCAAGTCCTCGAAGAGTTCAAAACACACGTCAAGTTAAAGCTTGATTAACAATTTAAAACTCCATTCATTTTGTTGGACATAATGCAAAGGCTTTTGGATGATCCTATCGTTTTATATTTCCAAACCAAAACCCCCTCAAGAATGCCTGAAGCTAATCCTTGCACTTCATTGCAAGAGCGATTTCCGAATTGTTTTGTTTTCCCCTCCAAGTTCGCAGAAATACAACTTAAACAATTCTACCAAAAGATTGCGATCTCCTTATTTAGCCTTCAAGGCTTTGTCACCCATAAAACTCGCCCATCAATACTACAAGACACACTTCATAGTGATTAGTTTGGGTAAACCTACCGCCCATTTTATGGATATTTCGACAATGAAATTGCAAAATTAGGAAAAACGTTGCAGCGGGCAGCATGTCCACAGTCTACATGCTTTCAATTTATGACAAAACCCAGAACATTCATCAGCAAGTTGCTGTCCGAATCGAAGATGCTGCCTCTATTCAAATCGATCTCAATATATGTTTCTGAATTAGTACTTGTGATTTTTATCTCTATCTGCAAGCAAACGGTTGTCTGTTATGCGGGTGCGTCGCTAGCTTATGTCACCTCTGACAAAATATTAGAACATTTATTTCGCTAAAGGCTCAGATCTCCTGTTTCTGTGTTAATGAACGAATGATCCTCTCTCCTTTTTTAGTAACATCGAGGATAAGGATCTGATACTACAGCTGGACCAACTGCAAGCCAAGACGGAGTCAGCATACACCAGTCTGCAGGAGAAGACTCGACCTGCCAAAAGCCACCGGTCCAAATCTAAAAGCAAAGCCAAGTTCACGCCATACCAACTACCAACACAGCCGGTTATGTACGGAGAGGCCGCATCCAGTGCGGACTACACGCAAGCCAAGGCGTACGCGCAGTATGCAGCCGCAACCACGTGCGATGTACCCATGCCGGCGGCCCAGTACGCATCCGTGCCGTACCAGGAAGGCATCGAACGCTACAACGCTATGTACCCGCATGCAAGCTACACGGCCGGATACCAGCACAACATGTACGCAGACAGCCCGTACAACTACAGTAACTCCTTTGCGTATCCGACTGCGGAAGCGTACGCTCACTGTATGAACGAGCGTCTGCAAGGATACCGCGGACATTATGGTGACGATCGGTATTACGCAGCCTCCACAGATCCTCGGGGTTATTACCATCACTGGACGGCGTCAACGGACAGACAATTGTCGCAGAATCAAGGGTACCATACGGACGTGTCTGGTTCCAGTGCGAGTAAGAAAAGTTCTACGCATGTGCAATCTGAACACGAGAGGCTCCAGGAAGCCAATCCCGTGTCGTGTTGCAACGGGGCCGCCGTTGCCACCGAGAGCAGCCAATCGGAGCTGCTGTTACAGCAGTGTGGGCAGCAGGCGCCCAACGCGGCCTCGCCGTCCCAACCAGCAGGTGTGCCACAACAAGGGCGCCACCAACACGAACAGCTGCCGGAGTTGACCTCGTGTCAGCGTCAGTCCCCTTTGCTCACCAGGCGCAGTCCGTCCAACACCTCGGACATATCGCCCAGGAGGTACCACAACCGGCAAGGCATCAGGGAGACCCAGGACTCGGTGGAAACCAACGGCTTGCCTTCCTCGTCCAAGTTTGACAGCCTGGTGCAGGCCACTCAGAGACTGGTCAAGGACGAGCAGAGCAAAAAGCAGACACGGACAAAGACCTCGACCGCTGGCCAGCCGACGGAGGCGGCTTACGGTCAGCGAACCAGCCCCGCTGGTGGAACCGAGCACTCCTGCCGGCAGAGCAGCCCCGTACAAGCAGACACCTTACCGGCACGATCTACCACACGGACTCAACCCCATGCCCACGGCCTGGAAAACGCTGGGGAGATTGAAAGCAGACGATCTCGAGACTATCAAAATCATGTGGATACTCATCGCTCCTCGTACATGAGCACGTCCGAACATACGCCGGTCTACCCGATGAGCTTCTCGCGAACTGACCACTCGTCCGCCAATCGGAACAACATGACCGATCCGCAGGACCGGAGCTACGACAGTTCGCTTTATAGCACCACCAAGGAACATTCCACGTGCTACTTCAACGACGCTGCCAGCAGGGCCTACCTGGCCTTCACCGATGGGGGCGCTCTGTCCAGTTTACGGCGAGGTGGGAAGGAGCATGGCTTCATGCACACGAACAGTGCAATCTGTGACAGGGCAGCCATGGGGTGGTACAGCAGCGGCACGCACACGCACAAAGAACACATGACAAATGGCTATGCTTACTAGCAGCCTTGTTCAATAAAAGTCACGTGTGCTGCATCATGTGTTGGGCATGCGCACTTGCTCCACATCAAAGCCTATACATTTTCACACACTACACCTCATAGTTTCTCCCTCCATTTTCTCGTTCGATGGTTCCCATGTTAAATGTGCCAGCCTTTAGCCTGTCTCTGTGAAGTACGTTCAAAACCTCTGAAACTATGGAATCGCATTGTGTTTTGATGGCTTCACATTCACACGCTGGCTGTAACCATTACTAAACTTTCGAGAATCTATACTTCGAGCAGGTCTGACGTTGGATAATTTTACGGTTGATTACAGAATGTTGCTCAATAAACTACTAGTTCAAAACTTCATAGGCTAACTTTACTGTGGGACAGGTTTTGTCCGTTGTAGATGCTTACGTAAATGCTCATCTTTTGGGCAAACCACAATTTGAAATTACAAGCACTGAAATGGCGGGTTTACATTTAAGCACAACTTTAAGGTCAAAGGTCAGTTAACACCTATGATGAAGCAAAACCATGGATGAATCGGAGTTTAAATTTATAGCACATGTTGATCATGAATTTCGTTATCAGTACATGGGAATGTTTCGGTTGTTAACAGTTGTGCTGATACGGAGATAAACACTTAATAGTCATTTTCTCAATTTGTGGGTATTTGGTAATTACATTGTACTTCACTCACGAGTTATTTCATTGCGAGTATTCGAGTTGACAAATTCACTACTCGCCCAGGACTAGCTAACACTACTCCTTCCTTCTCCAAAATGTATTTAAGTACATTTAATGTAAACCTAATCGAAATCGAAAACGGGTGTATTGCGAGATTTCAATTTTGTTATGAGTAGCCTACAATGATCGTGTAAAATATAGGATTTTGCTTTCTCGGTATGTGTAACCATGTAAAAAAAGAAGGGCACGATGGGTCGGGGGTTTGACCTTTGCCACTGGTTCAAGAAATTTCGACTTCTCGCCTTTTGCTCACGATTGATAATGTGTGAAACGCAAACTTTGGTAGACGTAAATACAGCCGTCCACTCTTAATCAATGCATAAAACTGGAAGCTACTCGCTCTAGTTAGTCAATACAAACCAAATCCGGGCTTGAATTAAACATAAACTCACTTTGGCAAGTTTAATGATCGCCAGGGAAGAAAGAGCATAACGAGTTTGCAATCTACTGCTTGTCGTCGTAAGATCCACAAGACGTCCTGTTGGTAATGATGTAGGCCCACTTCCATTCATTCTATATAAGCAGCAATTATTGCTGAGCAAAACAAATAATGAACCAGTGAAGAGCATGTACTTGTAATGGCATAACGGTGTAGTGAGAAATAAGGACTCCATGAAATACAGACTCATTACTTGTTTTGCGCATGCCTAAGTGAAGATAATCGCGACAGTGACATGTGTGCGGGTTAGAGTCCATAAGGTGAATGAGACCAGATTTCATAGGAGCAATATTGTATATGACACCAGCTGGTAACTTTTGCTGAGCAAACTGTTTCTGCGCATGAGAAGAATTATCTGTGCTTTTCTCCATGAAATTGGCCAATGATTGTACGACTTTCCGTGACGTTATTCTTAATGGCGGCTGCTCAGTAGAGTTTCCCACTTTTGTCTCAACTCAGACCTAAAATCTCTCACGGTGGATTTAGCGTCTGAGAACAGCCCATGCGTCGTTGGCCCATTTGAACTGTGACATATTTCAAAATGTCTACACAATAGGACGCTGTATTTGAGAAATAGACCAATCAGACTAAAGGAAAGAACGGCGTCGTCAAGGCGCATAACAATCAATAAAATAAAGAGTCGCTGCATTTTCTGACAGCGTTTCATGTCTTCATATGCACATATGCACAGGTTGCCAGTCTAGGCGACACTTGAACTTCTTAAGACACGATCTGTAGCTGAAATCGTGACAAAAAGAAATGGCGCCCTCTAGGTTCCAAAATTCACGCTATAAATAGATAGTTACCGTTGAGGAGAATCTTAGTGATTTGTTGTTTTTTTGTTACTTTTGATTAATTTATTATCTTCTTCACTAATTGGTTTCTCTTGCCACTTGTACTTATAAATTCTTGTTCAATGTAACTTATACATAATTGTGTCAGTTTTATCTAAAAATACAGACTATTGAGATTATAGATAGAATCAAGGTGGAATAAAATATTTTGAAAGTACTCGACGGAAGGAGTTTGCGTTTCAAATTCTTAAGTCATATTTGTGTTCGGAGTTTCAAACAGTTCATCCCTTATTCCTTCAAGGGGCGGGGTTAAGCGGGGGGGGGCAGGGACATTTTAAGAATGTCCAATGAGAAAATAAAACATATCAGAAACCTGCGCCTTCAGACTCCAGTAGTATCCGTCTAAGATATTTAAATGTGTACATAGATTATTTGAAGGTTTCATGACAAGTGTTTACAGGTAGTGCAAGGGTAAGTGTTTACTAAGACTTTGAGATGTAGTGCAAGTAAACATCTAAGAGTGTCGACCGAGACAAACAAGTTGGAGCATTGGGAAGGAAATCGCTGCTATATACTCTGTCGGACACAGTCGCGAGGTTTTTTTCAATCTATAGTACTTTTCTTCTTCTTCTTCATTGTCGTGTTAATGCTATATGGATCTGTGCTGGTAATATGCTGATAGGCACAGTAACGGAGTTCTGAACAAACAGCAGATATACGATTGAACAGCGGTTGCCCGATTTGCTCTCCGAAAACAACATGGACGCAAGTGTTGATGGGCTTCTGTATAGTTCTTATAAGAACTGACCGCAAATTTAGGGTCAATTCCATGCAGCTACTTATCACATAATTGCCAAAAGAAAGGCCAGAGCGCAGACAAATTTGCCTAGTCTATTAGTGATTGTTTGTATTTTTATTTTTCCGATGAAGGAAAATTTGCTGCGTGAAAATTGGTGCTTAGCAGTTGCACAAAAACCGGGCCTGTATAAAGACGATAATCTGAACTACTACCTACTCTAGATTCTCATCTTCCAGTCATTAACTCAACGATCTTTGGACTGCTATATTCAGCTGAGCCCAGTTGATCCTAATGGCCAGATCCTTATGAAAAGAAAACTCAGACAAGATAATTTGCGGTAGCACCATGTGAATGAATCTCTTTTGTGAGTATGTGTGGTTCTGAAAAGAAAACTCTTTTTCGAGCTCTGCTTTCAACATCTGGATAACAATGGGTATTTTCTGTAAAGGTATTTTAGAAATTCATGGCGCTCCGAAGACATCGGAGTGGTGCGCAAATAAGACAATGCATCGCTGTATCTCCTGTGCAAATGATGCTGTTAAGCTGCAGCGAAGATTTATTTCACTTAATGGTTTCTGAAAACGGCCTCTACAAAATTGCATTGGCAATAAAAGAGCAAACAGAGACACTCGTGTGCTAGTTTGGATCTCATTCCTCAATGTGTTCATCCACTCCTCTTCCAAGACTTGGCAAATACCACACTGCGAAGGACATCTTCAAGCGAGCCATTATACAACCATATTTACATAGGCAAGTGCTGGATTTGTTTTATCTGTTGCTCATGCATGTTGCCAGGTGATGCCTTCAAACACGTCAGCGCCGTCCTCGCTCAGAGAGGATTTTCTGTATTGTGCACTGTGCATGTGCTTCCGCTGCGGATGTGGCTATAGAAATGGGGAGATTTGGAAGGCATTAGTGTCGTCAGATTTTCCATAACTGAAGGACCGGGGTCGTGGTTATTGTGGATATCTGTGTGGAGAATGTTGAATGTATCTACGGAATGGTAAGAGAAAAGAGCTGATAAGTTTTTTTTGCAGGTGTTGTGTTTAATATCTACTTTATGACTGCCTTACAACGTCTGATATTAAGAGTTATTATAGAACCTCGATTTTGTGTCGTCACAAATGACAGCCTTTTATTACAAAATAACTTTGCCAAATTGGCTCGTGAGAACATTCCCATTGACTATGTAAGCGGGCGGGCAGTAAAACGTTAGGCCCTACCAACTATACTGCTATAAACTGCATCATCTTACCATAGCTTATTATTTTTTGACTATCTTCTCTATAGTATCATGTATGAATATTAATAATACAGATTTACTGTGAAACGACTGTCTTTAAGTCAGTGTCCTTATTCATCAGATGGTATTTGCGTCAGGGTTAGGCCTATGTAAATTCAATACTAGGTTTTGCCCTTGCAGCCCTTCACCGATGTATAAACATTGTATACTCAGTGTGTTACACCCGTTGAGGAAAGATTCCCATATCTGGCCATCACTAATTTTTCCCTTCAGTGACCTATCAGCCATCAGAAAGTGATAATATGTCCTAAAAAGGTCAAATTTAGCAGGGAAAATATTGAAGTATTTACTGAGAAAACACTTACGGTTTGTGCACAGGGTGACAAGTGATGGCCAGATATGGGAATCTTTCCCAAGTTCGTATTGTAATCAGTTCTGCCCGTTAACGATTCTTAAACGAAAAACCTGGGAATTTGTTACATCACTGTTGTCAACAGATATGCACGGAGGCATAGAAACTGGCAAAATGGCGGACAGTTTCTCGCGTATCGTCTGCATGGTTCTCGTGTTAGTTGTCGCGTGTGGATCAACGACTGCCCCAACTTCTCCGAGTACAGGTGAGCTCAATACATTATACATTACCTAACATCTTGAGACATAATTATCTTTGAAAGGCACATAGGATCATTTGCATTTATCTCAAAAGTAACCTTCCGAATGTATTAAGGATCGTACTCCCCCCCTTAAACTCTTCCGTCTGGCTTGCTGTCATTTAAAGGAAATCAAGAAATGTGATTTCCAACGATCAGTCACTTGGAAATAAAGACTCAGGCCTATGTACTAGACGAAATCATATTTCGCGATCAAAATGCTGTGCATGGTTGTCCATTGTTTCCTCGAAAATATGGTAATCCACTGAGCTGAAACTTCAACAGGTTTAATCTTTTAACGTTCTTTTTTTGGATTTTGAGTGATGTTATTATTGGGAAATAAAACAAAACGCATGAAAGCAAACGAGGTTATTATGCCTTGAACATTTCGCTGAACGCGCCATCGGCAATAGTTCACGTCGAAACGGTGAGATGCCAATATTAGGGTCTGGTGAAATATCCACACATAATGGTGATGTGTAATCGCAACAAACATGTATTTCGAGCCACATGCATTTCCAAAAAAAAATGTCATTTCTAATGACCCCAATTGTTTTTTGGCATTACTAACGGCAACGATTCATTGACAGTGAATCAACAGGCCCCTTTCAAGAAAACAATAGACTTGTTTGTATTCTTCTAAAAAAAAATGATAAAGATTTAAATTAATAATAATAATGATAATTAGCAATGTCCTATTTTTGAAGGAGGAAGTGTCGATCCAACTTGGCGCGTCGAAACGGTTTCCGATGGAATAGGGTCGATTAGTCCGTCGGCATCTGCCCAAACAGTCACATCGGGACCAGGTAAGTTGAAGTTTCAAATTGTGTGCTAGTCCCAGAGGGCCAGTCTGGTGACCTGACTAATTGACTGACTGAATAACTGACTGACTGACTCCCCGCCCGACTGAGAGACTGGCTGTAACATATACACTGGTCGGGACAACCTTTTCTAGGTCTGTGACGAATCCATGGTTCGTAATTTTGTAAATTTTGGACCGAGATCAAACGGTTATTTTACTCGTTTTCAGGATCGTGCGCTGGAGGTTGTGACTCTGGTTTTCAGGGAAATTGCCATTGCGACAATCTGTGTATGAAATATAACGACTGCTGTGGAGACTACTCTGTCTACTGCAGCAATACTCGACCAATGAAGACAAACACAGGTAAGAACATCTGATCAGCAAAGAATTAATAGTGTTAACGTCGCTGCATTTCGTAGAAGAAATATAACGATTAATATTTTTCCCTGTTTTGAAGGACAAAGTGTGGAACCGACGTGGACTGCTTCGGCGTCTAGCAAAACATCCGGACCAGGTAAGTCTAATTTCTGATGACTTTTAAGATTATATGAAAATATGATTTTGTGATGACGATTTGAACAACGTTCATTTTTTTTTAGGGTCGTGTGCTGGTGGTTGCGATTCTGGCTATCTGGGCAGTTGCTATTGCGACTCTGTGTGTATGAAACATGACGACTGCTGTGGAGACTACTCTTTCTACTGCAGCAATACTCGACCAATGGGGACAAATACAGGTAAACACATTTGTGATCACCAAGGCATTAATAGTTTTTACGTCGCTGCATTTTGTAGAAGAAATGATCAATATTTTTTCTCTAACTGTTTTGAAGGACAAAGTGTGGAACCGACCTGGACTGCTTCGGTGTCTAACAAAACATCCGGACCGGGTAAGTCTAATTTCTGATGACTTTTAATATTATATTTCATGGAAATATGATTTTGTTATGACAATTTGAACGACGTTTATTTATTTTTCAGGATCGTGTGCTGGTGGTTGCGATTCCGGCTATCATGGTAGTTGCTATTGCGACTCTGTGTGTATGAAACACAACGACTGCTGTGGAGACTACTCTTTCTACTGCAGCCATACTGGACCAATGGAGACGAATACAGGTAAAACAAATGTGATCACCAAGGCATTAATAGTTTTTACGTATCTGCATTTGTACATTAAAAAGTATAATAATGATTCATTATTTTGAATTATTAACTGTTTTAAAGGACAAACTGCGGAACCATCTTGGAGTGCTTCGGCTTCTAGCAAAATATCCGGACCGGGTAAGTCACATTTCTGATGATTTTTTAAATGAGTTTCTTTCTTGGAAATATGCTTTGTGACGCCACTTAACTAGGAAACCTTTTAAAATGCACTTCGAAAAAAATACGGATGTTTTATTTTATTTTCAGGATCGTGTGTTGGCGGTTGCAACTCTGGTTTTGAGGGAAACTGTCATTGCGACAATCTGTGTATGAAGGCAAACGACTGCTGCGAAGACTACTCTTTCTACTGCAGCAATACACGACCAACGGAGGCAAACACTGGTATGCTAGTTTTAATATCAGCCGGAATGTAAACATTTTTTTCTAGCCGCGTATAAAAATGTGGATGAAATATCTGCCCATTTAATTTGTAACTGTTTTTAAAAGGTGCAAGCACAGAACCGACTCGGACCGTTGGGACCGACCCGTCAGTATCATCACAGACAGTTACCTCGGGAGCAGGTACGTGGAGTTCCTTACGTTGACCGGTCCATGCGATGAATCTGTCTGAAGAACACATTTTGTGCACAACTTTCTACTCTTAAATGGATTACAAAAAATGTTGGACATCCCTTTTTGGTGAATTTTATTAAAAAGTGCACTTCTTTAAACATTTGAAATTGTCCATGCTTTTCCGGACTACTGAGGGCGCTGTTGCTGTGGTGTCATTCCGGGAAGACACTGTTCAAATTGGAGGTAGTCTGTTCACACTGGGAACCCAACATTTGCTCACTGACAAAACAACGAATCACCAAAGAAAAGAAAATTTACCACAGCGAAATATAAAAAATTCTATCAACTTTTTGTGCTGAATAACATTGAGGTTTCTGCCCGGATTGATATCACAGCTTAGCTCATGCATATGGAAATTTGCATGAGCATATAAACAAAAAGGCAAAAAAAAAAATGAAAATTGCAAAACGAAAATTGAAAATAAGGTTAAATAAGACACAAAGGTGAATTATCAAGGATTGCATTAAAGAAAATTACTGTCATTTTTAAATTACATTAAAAAATATTACATTTAACTGTCATTGAAAACGATGATTTGAAAAGCGAATATCTTTACAGTTAAACTTTTCCAGTGTTTCAAAAATGTCGTAGCCTTAAATTATATTTGCAGTCTACATCTTGTGGACTGTATTGTAGGCGGTGTTGCCGGCAACAAAAGTAGGAAGTCTATTTTTTATTAAACCGTCAAAATAGACACTTGTTACCGGTCGTATTGCATGATGCCTGAAAGTAGATAATTATAGATTAATGGACATAATGATTCTTTTAATTTTCAGGATCGTGTGCTGGCGGTTGTGACTCTGGTTTTCAAGGAAATTGTCATTGCGACAATCTGTGTATGGAATTTAACGACTGCTGTGGAGACTACTCCATCTACTGCAGCAGTACACGGCCAACGGAGACAAACACCGGTACATTCTCTTTAAAATTTCAACAGGAATATAAACAACAATTTTCCTAGTTGCATATGAAAACATCGATGAAATGATGAAATCTTTCTATTTTATAATTAATAGGGGAAGGCACGGAACCGACTTCACAGACATCATCTTCACAAACAGTCATATCAGGAGCAGGTACGGTGAATTCCTGAAGTTAACTGTCACTAAAAATATTGATTTGAAGAGCGAATCTTTTTCACAGTTCAACTTTTCCAGTGTTTCAGAAATGTCGGAGCCTCACATTTTATTTGCACTCTACGTACATCTTGTGGACTAGACTCCCATCGGTTTTGAGAATTACTACATCTGTGGAATAAAACAGTCAATCCTGCATTATGTAGGCTGGGCGCTCTTAACTGTTAAAAACAGTCACTTGGTTGATTTTGACTGACAGGACAACTTTGCACAGAATGTATGTTTGCAAAAAAATTGTCCACTTTTTAGGGCTTTCATTATTATAAGTGAACTTAATCTCATTTCCAGGCTCATGTCTGGCTGGGTGCGACACCGGCTTTCAGGGCAATTGCTATTGCGATGATTCCTGCGTGTCTGTCGGCGACTGTTGTGCAGACTATAATAGCTTGTGCTACGGAGGGGCTAGGACCACTACACCGGAAGGCGTGTCAGGTAAGAAAGTGTACAAAATATCCATTCGGGCGATTCGCAATGCCGTGCGCCATCAAGAGTTTGCCATGGAATGAGTGTCAATAGACAACATGAGCTTATTTGTTATAGATTGGGGCATAGCGTTCTGACGCCTTACCAAAAATCACCATATTGATATAAAGAAAAGAAAAGGGCAAACTTTTACTCAAATCATACGCTTACGAAACTACTGACCGGACAAACTAATAATTTCATATGTCCCGCGCTGCGAATTTGTCGACCATCTCCCACAATGCACTGGGAAAAATGAACTCTCCGTGGCAAACTATTGGTGGCGCTCTGCATTGTGAATCGCCTGAATTCAACACATTACTGAGTTCATCTCACAACGGTTTCAAATCTTTGTCGACCATGCTTTCAATCTTTTTGTTTTGTGAACGTTGGCAAAGCATCAGTGCATCATGTAATAATGATATACGTGTACAATGGTCCATCAGGAAGTCTAGTCTATATGGAATATCACCTCGCACAGCAAGGGGATAATATGATATGCGAGCAGATTCGGCGATTAAATATGCACAACAAAAGTGCGTCTTGACATCCAGATTCTGACCATTCAGCGGACGCCTTCTAACGGGTCTTCGGTAACCCGTTGTTGGATTACAAAAACATGGCAGCCAAATTGACCGATCATTAAAGCTTAGATCACGTTTCTTATCGCAATGACGTCACAGTTTCTAAACTCGACTACGATTGGCTGGCACGCGGGGTCGCATAAAATTTGCATTGCTCACATGTATCAATCGCTGGTTAGGGCTCCGTTGGACAACGGGTGATACTCGAAGTACAGGAAGCCACCACAAATTCACAATGAAGATCCATGCTTACTTCCAGGAGAAGCCCCAGATTAAATAAAGACGTGTCTCCTTTTATTGGTGTTTCATCTCGGAGAAGTTGTGAAGATAAACTCCCTATGGCATAGGCACCCTAACTGTCCTGAATCCTCCAATTTCAATATGATTTTGCACACCCCCAGGGTTAAAGGGATTCCCAAGTGCTGTATCAAGTGAAGTGTATTTGGATTTAAATTGAAAAAATGTTCATTTTCCCGCCTTTCTACAGGAAAACCAGTAACTGAGGTGAAGACCACACCTAGTACTGCCTTGTCAGGTAAGCTTAGATGAACAACTCGATTATCACTTGTAACTTAGACTGGTTGTAGGCTGGTGGAAAGAGCCGGGCAGTACTATCTATAGGATTACCCCGTAACGCCGATGAGCTACATATCCGGCCAATTGTGTAGACAGATGCAATTACAGACTTCAAAAAAAAAAGCTAATCCGAATCAACTATTGAGTAGAATTTGGCGTAGTATTCAAAATGGAAAGTTATGGTTATATGTCAAAGCAGGAGTGCATTGTAGTAGTTGCTTTAAAACATTGACGCTATTAAGCATACTTTCAATGAGGTCCATCAGGTGTAAGTGCTTCTAGCAGCTTTCCGAGTAAGAGCCTATAAACTTGGAAAGAATACAGTACTTCTAGCGGTACACTCTTATCTTGTTAATCCCTTTGTCAGCAAACTGGCCACTGTTTCAGCTACTGCTGCTCATCCCCTGCACTTGTCAATATCAGCTGTATGACAGCACATGTGGCTGTATTACACTAAGTGTTAGGGATTATAAAGCCACTGTTTGGACAGAGAATAAGATATAATATAGGGCTGGCCAGTTTACATCTAGATTGACTTTTTTCTCTCAGAAGTTTCTAGTGAAAGTTACTCGCAATGAATAACAAAATCATGTTAGATAGGCCTATAGCTGCGGGGCAAAGACTGGTAAATGCCTCCGTCACAAGTCATTTCAATTTGCGATTGACTGGTGATTGACTTGTGACGACTCGATGACAACGCTGTATCAAATTGTAGAATATGTTTGTCTGTACAAATTAATAATGGGAAGGCCGAGTCCCCAAAATGGCCCATAAGGGAATCACGTTTTGCTAAAAGGTTGTACCTTAGACAAGGTATATTAGGGAGTCATTTGCCTGTCTCCCTAATGTTTCAAGTGCTATTTCTAGCCATATTTTAGTGTCACAAATAACCCTAATCGATTCCTCGTGATGCAAAACCCAAATTTACAAAGTTCGGTGAGGGTAGGTTAAAGTTTAGATTAGGGTCAGGTGCCATGAAGGTTTTGTGCACAAGTCTATGGTTATGGCTCCAACGGGTTTCATTTCCCGTAATAATATATTTTTTTGCTGTTGTAATATCTAGGCTCCTGTTTGAGTGGCTGTGAATCCGGTTATCAGGGATCGTGCTATTGCGATTCTTCGTGTGAGTCGCTCGGCGACTGCTGTACCGATTATTTCAGCCTTTGTGCGGCTGCGGTGACTACCACGCCGCATACCAATTTCGGTAAGTATATGCATAGAGCTTGCTCTATGGTATTATGTTAGCTGACTGACAACCATTTGTAATTTTAACCATTTTTTTCATTCAGCAGTTGGAATGTTCAAAGCTTGTAGTTCATTAAACGACCCAATCGTGAATCAGGGTACTCTTTTAACAAGAATAAACCTGCCAGCTTTGGTAACACTCTGGCTGTTGGATAATGTGAAAAATACTTTTTTTTTATTCGAAGACAAGTGTTATTCTCTAGATTCAGTGACAGGTATAAAATGTCTTCTCATTGGTATTACAGAGTAACAAGAGACCAGGGCGCATTGGGGCGCACTTTGTTGGGTCTTTAAAAAATACATTCAAAAGTCTAAAAGTTAACTGCAGTAGGCTACTGGATCATTCGACCATCGCCATCTTCCTTTTTTATTTTTGAAGTGATTTGTTATTGTTGATTTAGGAGTTGAAGCCAACAGCACTATGATGGGTGGAGCAGACAAGCCGCAGATATACAAAACCAATCTGGTTCGCTTGTTCAACCAGCAGGTCGTGAAGAAATTTATCATCCCTATGAGATTCATAGTAATCAATTACGGAAAGAAGTGATGAGAAAAAAAAAACAATTAAGGGAGAAAACAAAATGAGATTATTTTTCTTTATTGTATCTACTCCAATTTGAATGAGAATTTACATCGTATAGTGTCTAATACGTTGTCTTGTTTAATAAACATTTCAACGGTACTATGAATTAGAAAAATTCACATTATTCGCTAAAGTGAATGTGAAATGGTACCCCTTCTCTCTTAATTGTAACGAATAATTTACTTTTATATTTACAATTATAAAACGCAGGAGAAAAAGTTGTTTCAATTATCCAAAGTTTCCCGAGGGAGCAAATTTGCTTGTCTTTTGTTATGAGATTTTTTGAAGTAAAATCTTCAAATTGAAGACCACCAATGAGCCATCAAGCTTTACGCCGACTCTAAGAAACTGACACATGCACACATAATGCCGAGTCTAGCAGTTGTGCCTCAACTTAAAAGTGTTCTTATTTCAATTAAATGAATAAATTTGTTCTTCCTGCATATAATATGGAAATAGCAACTTCCAAGGCTTATCATGTAAGTAATAAGGCCAATTTTCTATTGTTTAGCACTTTTGCTAATTTTTTTATTTATATTTGCGGTGTTACTTTTAGGCAATCTTTATTGCAGAATACATTTTGTGTGATAAAGCTGAATGCTGTGTTATAGGCCTCTACAATATTAATAACATTCGAACAATGATATTTGGAAAGTTGAGGAGCCCACTGATTGTGGTTACAATCTGATAAACAATGGAGGGCCAGGTAAACATTTGACTGACAATAGGTTTGGCAAGATTGTACTGTGAAGAATGGATGCACTTAACGATTTAAATCACGGTAAATTGAACTTTTGAGTGTTTCGTTTGGTATTATAAAATTGGTATTAAATTTTCAGCAATGTAATCGATGTGATATGTGATTAGCTGTCAATGATAATATATCATTGTTTCTTTAATCAAAGCAAATCTTGTTCGGGTTTTAGATGAAGTTTGTGATTTTCCAAATATGTTGTTGACTTTTAAAATGTATTTACGTGTAACAACATCGGTGTTCTCTCTAGAAATGTAATAAATGATTAGTGTTTAACTTTTATTCGATAGTGCATGTAAAAAAATAAATGATTCAGTTCAGAAAAGAACGTAAGTTTTAGTGACAAGGTATCGTTTTGGTAATGAATGGTCAGATAATGTTGAAAATGGTTTGAAATGTTCAAATGAGTAACAAAAGTGGATAAATGCTCAGGTCTACAACTTTCCTTAACATCAAATGTATACACAAATGTCATTGATATGCATGCATGGCTTCTACCTCATGTTTTCTTGATTTGTTTTAATTCGACGACTAGACAACATGTGTAGTCATGTCAATCTAAGGGACCCAAAGACACTCAAAACACTGCCGATGTAAGCTGGCTGCTGTGTTAAGATTCGTTGAATTGCAAAATAAACTGAGATTTACACTGATTGCTGTGATCAAGAATGAAGACCGATGCTATGGATAAATAAAGATGAAGAAAGAAAAATGCTCTTCTGAAGTCTTTGCCGTGTTAAGAGTGGGGTTGTAATAAATGAATCCCACGTTAAATCGTCCAACTTATCAAGTTAAAAGGTTGAGGAATTGACGTTGACAAAGCCATGTCTCTGTCACTGTGCATCTTTTGCAACATTGAATCTGTAGTGACTGCCCCTTTAACCATTGGCGTCACATGTAAAGAACTCGCCAATCAACGCCAGCGAACATATTTGACTGGTACCCTGTATTGTACATACATGTATATATTCGCTGGTGCGTCCACATGTGCTCTGTGTGGGTTTTTCCATGTGTTCTGTCGTTGGTGAAAAGTTATCGCGTTTTGACATTTTTGAGCACCAATCTTCAGCATTATTTTATCAGCGTTTAACATCGTCTTCGTGTGTTTTCGTCAAGTCAGTAATCGTCTGTTTGTGTCCTGAACAATCCTCGTCGATAAAAACTCTATACAAACTGTGGTTCGCGCATCCGCGCCAGGAGAAATATCGCGATCGACAGAGTCAATATTCGTCCCGCGGCGAGAAGACCGAGCGAGAGGACTCGTGCCCAATTCACGGACAAATATCTTGGTGAGTTGACAACAACTTTCGTACTGAGTATAACTAAAAATATCCTACAAATCTTTTACTACTTGATGACTCGAACACAGCTGTGTTAAATGTGTGTATTTGTAATTTACTCAGTTTTACAAAAATCTTGCGAATCCCCGCATTAAGAACTTTACAAGTTTATATTCATCGTTTGCCAAATAGTCTATGGTGCATCCTGTACCCTTGCGTGGCAAATTTTATCATCCAATTTCATTTCAGAAAGAGCAATTGTTGCGTGCTCGTTGACCGAAATTAATGTTGCCCAATTACCTTGGACTTGTTTATCTGAATTGCAACTGGCCTACTTCTCAACTTCCTGTTATTATCATAAGCAGAGAGCCATAAGAAATTGTGTATTTAGCTTTTTTTCTGCCAGTGAAATTCGTTGGCAGATCGTAGAGCGACTTTTATTGATCAGATAACAAAAGGAACCGCGTTTCTTGTTTTAATTGTGAAAGAGGCCGACGGCAGTATCTTGTTTTTCAAAAGATGCAATTTCCTGTCAATAGCCTGAGGAGCCGATGGCTCCTGCTGTTGTATATTCTTCTCTCTCAATATTACAGTCATCAGTGCGGCAGTAAGTAGTAAATTAACTGCTTGTGTAAGGGACTGGTCTAACCAGAACTCACTTTGCCGTCATGGATTAAGCACGTTCTCTTCAAAGCTGCTCTCTACAAGGATTTGCCTGCAGTTTTTCATTAGTGTTCTTAATTTTTTTTTATCAAAATTGGGCATAATTTGACTTTTTTTTTCGAAAATTAGAAAAGGTAAGGGATAAGCCTTGCATTTTTATCAAAACTTGGCATAATTTGACTTTTTTTCGAAAATTAACAAAAGTAAGAGGTTAGCCTTGCAATTGTATCAAAATTGGGCATTATTCGACTTTTTTTCGAAAATTTGAAAAGGTAAGGGATAAGCCTTGCATTTTTATCAAAATTGGGTATAATTTGACTTTTTCGAAAATTGACAAAAGTAAGAGGTTAGCCTTGCATTTTTATCAAAATTGGGTATAATTTGACCTTTTTTCCCCAAAAATTAGAAAAGGTAAGGGATAAGCCTTGCTTTTTTATCAAAATTGGGTATAATTTGACTTTTTTTCGAAAATTAACAAAAGTAAGGGGTTAGCCTTGCATTTTTATCAAAATTTGGCATAATTTGACTTTTTTCGAAAATTAACCAAAGGAAGGGGGTAAGCCTAGACTTTTTTCAAAATTTTGCATAATTTGACGTATTTGAAGTTGAAGTCTTTGCCGTGTGAAGAGCAGGGTTGTTATCAATGAATCCCACGTTAAATCATCCAACTTCTTATCAAGTTAAAAGGTTGAGGAATTACGTTGACAAAGCCATGTCTTTGTCACTGTGCATCTTCTGCTACGTTGAATCTTTTACAACTTGATGACTCGAACACAGCTGTGTTAAATGTGTGTATTTGTAATTTACTCAGTTTTACAAAATCTTGCGAATCCCCGCACTAAGGACTTTACAAGTTTATATTCATCGTTTGCCAAATAGTCTATGGTACATCCTGTACCCTTGCGTGGCAAATTGTATCCGCTAAGACACACGTTTTATTCAGCGCGCCCTTTCTCGAAAGAAATTATTTAGTTGTTTAACGGTTTCTTACGAAATTGAATCTCCTTATGTAAGACATCAAGACCGATCACTTGCTGAACTTACAACTTACTATAGCTTGGTCTGGTGAGCTCGGGTTATTGCTCAAACAACGAGTGTATTCATTTTTTTTTCCATGGAGGTTGACTTTTCATCTTTTCTTTGGTTTGTATTTTTCACGTTTAAAATATAATACCATATTTGTTTCGGATATGCTCCTTGTTATTGTTTGATGTTTCTCCCTTATTCTGGACCGTTCTCGGTAATTATCATTCCATAAATTAATTAATAATTTGTAATAAAACATTTAATATTAGCTGATTTATAATAATAAAATACCGGATTCGTGATCCGTAATAACGGATTAGTAACAGAATATGAACCGTAATAACGGATTAGTAACAGAATATAATGACACGTGTGGTCTTCCGTAATATCCCTAATGACAAACAAATATATACTGTTACCCATGGCAAGGCTTGTGCACAGAGGACATTTTACACATGACTGATTTAGGTGAGACACCGTCGTTCCAGCCTCCGTCCTGGAACTTTATTGCCACGAAATCCTCATTACCGGAGAAGTCATTCGGCTGAACTCCTCGCCAGTTGGTGTAGTAGAAATCTTCATTGTTACGGTTGTCTTGGCCCATCGTCTCATACCTGCAGTGCGTGAATGATATTAGGTAGCCCATTAACTATAAAGTTGGCATAGCAACCTAGAATTCACCGGTAACTAATGACCTCGAACGATAGAGTAATTGGGACAGCGCAATACTGAGCCTCTATAACCTTATCAGACTTTACGTGAGCCTTTCTCAATAATACAAGCAATACCAGTTGGCAGAAATCGTCATTGTTACGGTTGTCTTGGCCCATCGTCTCATACCTGCAGTGCGTGAATGATATTAGGTTGCCCATTTACTATAAGGTTGGCATAGCAACCTAAAATTCACTGGTAACTAATGATCTCGAACGATAGAGTAATTGGGACAGCGCAATACTGAGCCTCTATAACCTTATCAGACTTTACGTGAGCCTTTCTCAATGATACAAGCAATACCAGTTGGCAGAAATCTTCATTGTTACGGTTGTCTTGGCCCGTCGTCTCATACCTGCGGTGCGTGAATGATATTAGGTTGACGTGTGACGGTTGAGGTATGATGATGTGAGTAGACATGCGGTGGCATACTTTGCTTAATGTAATTGGCACAATTGTTTCTCCATAGGCGTTTTGGTTTGTCCGGCGAGAATGCCAAGGAAGGCAACGCTGTCAAAACCACGAAGTGCTCTCGGGGATCACCAATCACCTTCTTCATGTCTGTTATTCGTTTCGGTATTCTGGTTACTTGTCTCCTTGGTTTATGTCAAAGTGAACACCCGATTTTTGATCCATTTATTTATTAAAAATGGAAAAAAACCTTGGGTGAAAATCGTAATAGTTAAAGGATAACACGATTATGCGGCTGGAGTCCAATTAAAATGTGGTCAGTAGAACAACTGTGTGCAAACAAATTGACATGAGATTAAAAAACACGGTTTTTTTGCTTCTAGCATTATATTTTTTAGATGCCATTTTTACATAAGAATGACAATGATACACCACATCAACAAAAGTGAATATTTATCTAACAACTCGTGTGCCATACAATAGATATGATTAATCACACAACACGTTGATGGAAATGAACATGAGAATAGAAAAAAAAGTTTAAGAATACCTCCAACCTTTACGCATCATGGACTAATTATCTTTCTTTTGCGCTAACAGTGCACATGTTACAACTGATAATGCAGTGACCAACGGATAACGTATCACCAACCGATGTTACAACAATTGACCGATACTGTATCACTAACTGATAATGTAACAACAATTTACCGATAGCTAGTGGAATATACTGCACTGTCAGTCAATGGTTGTTACATTATCGGTTAGTGATACATGTCGGTCAGTTGTTGTTACATTATTGGTTGGAGATACGTTATCCGTTGGTTAGTGCATTACTAGTTGTACTTGTAACATACATTGCACGGGATTAAACCAATACACAAATCTAGAGATGGAGAAATGAACGTCGACGGAACGTCGTGTTAAGTATGCACGAACGTTATGATGTGAACATATCACGTTACTTATTAAATCACGTTACTTACCAAAGAAGTGTTTAGAGTTGAAACATTTCTAAACACTTCATTGTACAAACAACTCTGACATGTTCCAATCTACGACATGTTAAGATTTGTAGATGTCTATGACATGGTTAGGAACACGACGAAAGCTTGTAAGTACCATCAAGAAAAAAGGTAAACAATAAGTAAAAATAACTTATCGGGTTGAAGTAAATGTGACAGACTGAATACATGCATTTCTATCGCTCTTTTCTGCAACCTTCTCAGAAAAACACCGAATTTTAAAATATATAACTTGAATATAAGATATTATTAATGGCACTAACACTGTAACATGCTTTCAGATACTTTTGTGCAAAGCTCCTTAACATGTCTTGGAATATTACATGTGAACAAGTGGGTACCAAAAGTGTTTAAATTCTAAGCACAATTTGTTAACAGTGTACAAGTCATCGGCTTTAGCCAATGCAAGCCTTGAGCACTCGACCTTTAAAATCAAAGGATGGCATTTTACACATGGCACGTTTATTTCCGTAACCGTCGTTCCACTGTTTGTCCATTGGCCGCACTGCGGTGTAATCTCCATCACTCGGTGCGCCGGGAAGCCAGTTAACGTAGGAAAGGGCAGTCCCGTCTGTCCACGCGAATGAACCTGAAATGAACGGAAATCCGTAAAATGTTGAGTTAAGTCGATTTTAAAGCAGATTTTGCAAGGTCCAGTTCAAGTGCATGTGTGCGCATTTTGCACTGAATTGCAATTATTGCTCATTATTCAACATACATTAACTTTCAACACACACGCTGTATCACTGCTAGTGTTTAAAAATTGGTATAAGCAAAGGAACGTGCTTTTTCCAGGGCTACACCTTGCTTGGTTGTAGGGGTGTTTTTATATACCCACCTTCTACAATCTGATCAGTCAGGCCAATCCAGACCCATCCGTCTTTCCCCGCTATTCCTGCAGATGAAGCCAGCTCAACGATGAAGTCGTTTTCTTGCTCGTCGTGCACCGACGCCAAATGAGCCTTGCCGTTGCGGTTGGCGAATCCTTGGCAGTAGGTCTCAGCTTCATTGAACGGCAGCTTCTGAGGTGTAACCCTATAGCATTGATCTCTGTACAGGACCCATCCTGGTATGCAGGGCTTGACGTAGCACCCAGGCACTTGATCAAAAGAGGACGAGGGCACCACCGCAGATACCAGCCAAAGGAGCACGACGTACCGCCTTGCCGCCATTTTCACCACAGTGCCAGGCTTGGCAGATTCACCCTTTTGCAGCCCCTTTTGTAGCCCCTAATAGCCGATTTACTATTAGGTTGGCATAGCAACCTAATGATCTCGAACGATAGAGTAATAATGACAGCGCAATACTGAGCCTCTATAACCTTGATCAATTTGACAACAACGGCAACGGTCAATATATGGCGGCTAAGTAATTGTTAGTCTTGCCACAAAGACGATATCAATCAATCAATCAATCGATCTTACTTTATTTACCACATAACAATACAGATCAATATGCAGAGAAAATCATAAGATCATAATAATTAGTCTTTTTTCCAAGACGTTCTCAGTTAGGTGTAGTGGTGCTTTCTTCGCCTTCCACCGCTGCAGACCCGGGTTCGAATCCAGCTGGGTTATTAACGATCAATGGTCCACAGCCATGCCGTTGTGTACCGCACAGCAGCATACATGCCGCATATTGTCCCATTCTGACGAACCGAACGCAAAGAACATCTTGGGAGTTCAACATTGGAATAGGGCGTGACCTAATAATTTTATGCATAATTGACAGAAATAATAGCGCATGCGCACTGGCGGAAACAGAAAAGCTAGTTTGAAAATACTTAGTCTTTTTTCCAAGACGTTCTCAGTTAGGTGTAGTGGTGCTTTCTTCGCCTTCCACCGCTGTGACCCGGGTTCGCATCCAGCCTGGGCCAATATGTGGATTGGGCTTCAGTCTCTGCCTGATTCCGTGGTTTTTCCCTAGGACATGCCTGCCCCCCCCCTCCCCCACCCGACAATAAACTCTTCTCTTGAGCTGATTGATCCGCCCATGAGTATGAAAAAAACGAGTTTGACAGAAAATCTCAGAATGATTTTTGAAACACCTTTAATTTTGTTTCAAACAAACCCTTGTACAAAGGGACAGGTAGGCCAGTCTAAGTGTTAAGGTATCCTGATGGGTATGCGAGTACACAGTAAAGTACTGTTAACATTGCAAGCCAGGCTAGATCGACACGCGCCATTTTTGTTTTTTATTTCAATTTTTTTAAAGGAAATTTAAGAATTTTCTTGGGGGGGGGTAAGGAACTTTTATAACATCTGGTATGTGGGTATAAGTGTTTATAATGTATTTTATGTAATGATAGGTGATTTAGCAGATTTGTGATAGATCTAGCAGTTTTTTTAATTGCATCTAGCAGAATTTCGCCATTACGTTATGGTCACCCTGGAAACAATGACGCATAGATAGGATGAGAGAATCAATGGCTGTTTCAATGGATCGAAGCCGTGATGAAGTTCACCAGTAGGTCTATATGCCGCAAGATGGTGAGAGTGTGAAATTAGAACATTTCTCTGTCTCGGGGCCAAAAAAAAGTTGTTCAGACTGTGGTTTGTGTTTGTCGGGGGATGATACATTTTGCGGTTATGGGAGATTAGGATCCGTGCTAAGCAAAGTTCTTCTTGGTCCAAGGCTCCAAGCATCTGGTATGCATGATGCGGTCGATAGTTCCTAGTGAGCGCCATTTTTGAAGGATCATCATCGACAGCGCTTTCATTTTTTTCTGAAGCAATTTGAGTGAAACGTCGAAATTTAAAGCACTATAAAGCGGTCACTCAAGGGCGGATCCAGAGAGGTTGCCGGGGGCTGAGGGTGTACCGGAGGCGGAAAAACTCACAAGTGTGAAAATGACCTTATTTTCGGTCACTGCCAGGAGGGGGGGGGGGGGGGGGGGGGGGACCCCGGCCTCGCCCCCGCCGCATTTTCCTGACTCTTAAACAAGTTGATTGTTTTCTCCAGCCGATTTTCCGTTCTCGGTAAGATTTACTTTTTATTAAAAAAATCCATTTTTGGCTTCAACAATTATAACCCTCTGCAAAAAGGCTTTTATTTTAGGTTAAATATTTCTGTGAGTGCATATAATGCGATTCCCACATGATCCTCACATTTTCGATTCAGAGGTGGCGGGGGGATCAGTCTTCCCTGCGAGAAAATAAAAAACGTTCGTAATATCATTTCTCCATAACTAAACAGGGGCGGATTCCGATTCTCTCCCCCCCCCCCCCCCCGTGCAGTCGCCCTCAAAAGAGGCCTCATTGCATGCAAGATTTTGACACCGTCAAAGTGAAACAGCGCCCTCTGTAGTCATTGTAGCAGCGTGAACAAAATGGCGGCCCCCACGAATTCATTGGGACTGGGAGTTTATGTTGAAGTTCGTCAGCAAATTCGCGCCGTACAAGCTGTTTTGCGTATAAATTCGTCGGTGGTGAATGACGATACCCGGTAAGGAATCCGGTCTTTCCTGAAGAAACTTGAAAAATTGAGTATATATCATTATCAACAATATCTTTGCCAAGCTGTTATTACTTATATAGTCGTGTTCCCTAACGTGGCGCACTTCGAAGCTTACCCAACTTTCCTCGTGTAGTGTTGCCAAACCTCTTTGTTGATAAACCTCAAATTCATGCAGTGAAATACTGGTACTTTTACCTTTTTAATGCTTGCTGTTTAACCTCTGTGAACAATTTCGGTTTCATAAAATTTAATCCGAAATGCAAAAACGGTCGCGTCCGGAAATTGGGCACAAATTGGCGGAGTGTTCCCTAACGTGGCGCACTTGAATAAATCTCAGAAAATTCCAAATTAACATTTAAGAATTTCTGTAAACTTGATAAATTCTGATAAATCATTATTATCTTTACTTACAAACCCAGCCAGATGTTTGTCAGAAAATTATTTTCTTATTTTTCGGGGCATTTTCAAAGGGTTCACTTTACACTTGAAAATAAAATCGGAAAATCAAGCCAAAATGATTTTTTCTTTTAACTTTGTAACGGGTAAATAAACTCGCGATTTATGAACGGGAGTGTTTAGAACTTGATGAAATTTCACTTTCTGTGAAATTTCAGTTAAAACTTTTTGCTCTAGCTAGGCGCTACAGGCGAAAAATAAAAGTGCGCCACGTTAGGGGCCGCGCTACTCCCAGAACTATGAGGCTCCGCGTGAGCGGAGCCTCATAGATGTAGAAGCCCGCAAAATTGTCTGCAGCACAAAACACTAATAAAGTACAAAAACGTCCATCAAAATGCAGACATTTCACACAGAACCGCTGCACAGTTTGCCCCTATTCTCCGTATTTTACCTCTTGACATACTCACGTATCTTGGGCACAACTAACATAAGTGGATTCTGTCGGTTTTTAGGCCAAAATGATGAAAAATATGCCCTTTCCGCACTGAGCCAACCGAACACTTGAAACGTGCACGCATATGATCGAGCGATGATTTTTGGTTCGCTCGGAGCGCGCCGCGGGGGGTACGGTACAATGCGAAATGATAGTATGTGCATGCGTACAAGTGCATGTACCGTACCCCCCGCGGCGCGCTCCGAGCGAACCGAAAATCATCGCTCGATCATATGCGTGCACGTTTCAAGTGTTCGGTTGGCTCAGTGCGGAAAGGGCATATTTTTCATCATTTTGGCCTAAAAACCGACAGAATCCACCTATGTTAGTTGTGCCCAAGATACGTGAGTATGTCAAGAGGTAAAATACGGAGAATAGGGGCAAACTGTGCAGCGGTTCTGTGTGAAATGTCTGCATTTTGATGGACGTTTTTGTACTTTATTAGTGTTTTGTGCTGCAGACAATTTTGCGGGCTTCTACATCTATGAAGCTCCGCTCACGCGGAGCCTCATAGTTCTAGGAGTAGGGCCGCGCCACGTTAGGGTACATCAACAATATTAGTGGGTGATTTATTTTCTCATCCATTCCATGTCATCATCTGATCTATGTGGCCAATTTAGACTAGGCTACCTCCATAAACATGGTAAATAAAGCCAAGACCACACTTGGAACATGTGCCCGAATATGTAGAACTTTGTCAAGTTTTTTTTATTAAAATTTATACTTTGTTTGTAGTTTATTTTCGCAGGCTTTAGTCTTTAGAAGCACACTCACCCTCTTTAGTTTAAAGCGATAGAAAATTAGTCCCCTCTTTTTCAGACGTCTATTTGTCGTGTAATTTCGTGTTGGAATTTAGGTACGCTGACGTGTGCAAAATGAACCTCCTAAAGTATAATTAAACTACAAACAAAGTCTTTTAGCATGCTTTAATAATGTAAATCTTACCGAATTGAAACTCCAAATTTGGCCAAAATTTCCAAAGTGCAAACACCTATTGAACCCCGCAACTTGTACTCTTCAAATAACATCATGGATGTGTCTCCTCATCTTCTTAAAATTGTTAACATTTTTTTTTGGATTATGGAGTAATTGAACTGGAATTATGGTATTTGAATACTGTGCAAAATTTCTCGTTCATTTGTCGTTCAATCCAGCAGGCCAGAAAGGTCAGAAACGCAGAACCCCGGCAGAGTGCAGGTAGAGATTCACCCGGAGACGCTGCACTTTGTGACTTCATCCGATGACTGCCGCAGTGTCTTCTCTTTAGCTCCGATCAGGATCCTGCCTAAAACCTGCAACGGCCTGAATTGGGTGAGTGATGCATTTTGTCCACGAAATTCCTAGGTCTGCAACATTGCTAATGTTGCTACTTGTAGCATCGTGATCCCTAGCTACATGGCATGTACGTCAAGATGCTGTTATTGTAGATGCGTGTGATGTGCGTAATGTTGTGTCCTTGGGCAAGCCACCGCACCCCAACCTGCATCTCTTCAGCCAGGAGTATACTATATATGGGTAGTGGTATAATGGCATTAGCTGGGGAGTAACCTGCGATGGACTGGCATTCTATCGGAAACCGGATATAATCACGGGCCTGATGGGCCATATTGGTTCGGGACTTTAATATTGACTGTCCAAATCTTACCCCCTCCATTTACAGGTGGAGGATGAAGGCCTTCACATGAGGCTACAGTTGGCGGGGACCAGGGAAGCAGGGAACCAGCTTGAGCAGGATGAAGCGAGAGAGAAAGAAGAGCTTGATTTCTTGAGGAGCACAGCTTGTGTCGTGGTGTGCGGAGTCTGCAGTGGCAAAGTTGCGACCAATCCTTGGTAAGTACGGCTGTGCTGAACATATACCAAAATTCCAATAATCAAAAGACTATCCAATCATCCACAGAATATCGAAATAGTATTTATTGTATTAACCAAATACAATATTCGAAAAATTGTGAGCTTTCTCGAGAAGATGACATAAATTGTCTGTGATGTAATTTTATTCGTATACTGTAAGTTGAGAGGTTTTATTCCTCGTCAAAATGCCACATTTTCTGTGGACAGCCACTTTTCACTCATGATTTGAGAGCAGCTTTGGGGAATATTACCTGTAATTTACATCTTTAAATCTGTCGAGGATTAGCTGGTCCGCAATCTGAATTGAAAAATACATGTATTAGTGGCCGAATATACAAATACTCGATCAAATCCAAGGTCCAATAATCGAATACCAAATTATTTGATAGTGCACAGCACTATTGCTAATCTAGGTTTTCAGATCCAAAAAAAATTAGATTGGAGAGAAAAATTTGAAATTTATCCTCAAATTCAATTTATTTATTTTTGTTGTATTGCAGCATTTTTGACAGGGTTCTGCCCCTTCCGTCGGAAAATTGGCGAGAGATGTCCGAAACCTGGTGCTGCCATGGTAACGAAGGAACCCGGACGTTTGCCAATCGGTCGCTGAGACCACAGGAAAGAGATTGCCTTGTGGGAAATCTGTACTTCCTGTTGCATCCCAGCATGCTTTGCAAGGACGCTGTACTGCTCACGTCGCAAAAGGGAAAACAAAGGAGCTGTGGTGTAGCGGCAGAGAAGGTATTTATCCTTACCACCCCAACTCCATCAAAATCCATCCCCCCATTTTGGTGGGTTTTGGGGGACTTGGTCCAGAAGGCCTTGGCCCAATTTCACGACTCTGCTCAGCACAAAAATTTGCTTAGCACAACAAAGTCTGGCTTAGTATAAAAGCAGGTTACCAGCCAAGACTCCATGCGATTTTTCCTGCTAAGCAAACAACAGCTGAATACTAATCACGAGCAATAGGCCTATACATCACTTGGAGTTTTGGCTGGTAACCTGCTTTTATAAGCCAGACTTTTTTTGTGCTAAGCAATTTTTTGGGCCCCTGGTGTGACTAAATATTGATGGAGTATGATGGACTTGGGCCTTATGGCCTGAAGCAGTGCTAGGGGTATCCGATTGATTTTGCCTAGCTTCCTGTACTGCTATTGTGATAAAAGCCATGTGTAGCAAGTCCATGAATGTCAACCAGTGCGTCAGTGGTGGATTCCATTATGTCATGTACAGTTTTGTATTCGCACACAGTGATTGATGGATTTTGATGGACTTGGTCCAGTTCCTAGTAAAAGACGCTAGGGAGTTAGGGGTAAAGGAGCATTATGGCCTGAAATTCCAAAAACTTTCATGTTTTGGATTGCTTTACTTATCCTGTTTTAAAGACTGTTTTACCGTTCCCGAGAAAAAAAAAAAAACGTGGTTGTTTACATCAGTCGCGACGGACATTTATAATGTGCGTTAAAATGCACATAACTGTGAAATCTGTTTTGGTTAATTCCATGTAGCCTGGTTTTCATTTTGAAAATTCCCCACGAATAAAAGCCAAAACCATTTTTTTAAAAACTTTCTGAGAAGTTACTAAGTAATATGGAAAGTCGGTTAAGAGTACCCGACCCCATAATCTGGAACCGGTTCCTGACGTCAGTGGTCGGGCACTCGGTACCCGGTTCCGATGCCCAGCCCTATCTTTGTTCTACTTGGTTCTTCTTGGATGTGACTATCAGTACTAAAATACACCTATGAAATTGGTCTTGCGCCCTCAGTTGTTAAGAGTTTGCAGCATTGAAGCAAGAATGGTCAATAAAAGGTGATAATAATAATGGAGTCTTATATAGCGCACGTATCTACCAACAATTAGGTACTCTAGGCACTGGAAATTATGTCTATTATTAAAAACAGGTAAATGAAGTTTATGAGTAATATGAGACCCATTATGTAGCACCTTATAATGGTGTACAAGGTGCTGCGGCGCACATTGCAGCCACTGCCAGAAACACCGGGGCAAACCCCTTCTCTTAGCGATAAGTGTTACTGGGTTCTTTAATGTGCATTACACAACACACGGGACCTACGGCTTTACATCCCATCCGAAGGACGAAGCAATAATTGTAAAGTGCCTTGCTCAAGAGCACAAGCACCATGTTCCCACGGTCAGGATTTGAACCCATGCACCACGGCACACGAGTCCAACACCGTAACCATTGCACCACAGCGCCCCAATAATGACTTGTTATTTATTATCCAATTTATTTCCAGAGTGAGACACTACATCTTTTATGTAGGAGATGCCGTTCATCCCTTGGTGAAGCCGTAGCAGGTATGTATCTCATTCTCTGTAGATTGCAACTCTTTTTGGTCTGGTTAAAGGTGATATACAACATTTGCAAACATCAAAAAGCAAAAGTACCAAATTCTTACAAAGTACCGTACTTGACTGTAAGTGAATAATAGTCTCACGCATCCTGTGAAATCATGGCACCTGGTGTGCTGTCATTTCAAAGAAAAGGAGATTTTTGTATCAATTTCCAACGATGGTCGGCTGACCATCGTTGGAAAAATAACTTAAGTTTTTAAGCTCTGGCAGGTGCTTCTTCGTATCACTTGGCGGTCGGTCAGTCCTACGCCCCTAAGTTTCCTATAAAATATTACAACCAAATTTTAATTTAAAAAAAAGCAACCAAAAATGATTAAATACTTAATACCAAAAATTATTTGTAACAATTAGGAAAGATGTTTACGAAAAGTTTGTAAATGGAGGCAAAATGTGTGAGTGATGTTATAGTCGTGATATTTATCATAAATCTCTATAAATTTAGGTATAAATCTAAAGTATGGTGTTCCATATGTGCCATTCAGCTCTGGCAGGGATCACTTTGATAGATTTTATGCAAGACTTCCATGCAAGACGGCCAGAGCTTATTGTGCATTCACGCTTGTTTTATCCTGCCCCCGATTAACCGAGTTTAGATGGTTCGCATTTTGTTTCCAATCACTTACAAATCCATGAACGTGTGCAAGCCAGCTAGTCTGGTTCCCTGACCTGACAATTCCCGACGTCTATAAATTGCTCCATTTTGTCCGAAATACAGTCAGGGAATCACAATACAAGAACATATTTTTTTTAACTTGGTTTCTCCAGCATCTATGAACACAAAATTTTAAAAATGCCAGTGTAACAATAACTTGTTAAAAATACTGACCCCCGAATTCCTCCATTTCTGAAAATTACAGCAAAAGCAAATGTTGAATATATATATTCTCTTTTAAGTCGTAATCGACAGTCATTCAGGCCAATGTATTGTTACATTGGCATGTTTAAAGTTTTGTGACAGTCATTCAGTGAGATAAGTAACCAGTCTACATGTAGTTCACAACTGATAGTCAGTCAGTCAGTCAGTGAGGTGTCTCTAAAACCAGTCAAAATTTAAAGCCCCTTTAAAGCAAGAGAATTACTCCAAACCTTGCATACCTTTTTTTGTAGATAAACAGATTACAATACATCAATAACTGGGTCCGAAGTAACGGCAGTAATTAAGCTGATCGCATTTCCACTCCTCCGGTTTCAGAGTCTGTTTTTCACATTAGAGTCGGTAACGTTGGCCTGGTTTTCTCAGACACGGTATTACACATGCCAACTGCAATTTTACTAAGGCAGTTTTGACGATGCGAATGGGTGAATTTATCTCTCAACTGTAGTTAACCGGAGTTTGATGAACTTCAATTAAAATGGTTGAACTACATACATGTACTAAATTCAACCGTCTTGAACTTGATTCTGGGACATTGTATAACTGGTTTTCTGGGACATTGTATTCTGGAACTTGATTCTGGGACAATGTATAACTGGTTCTCAGTGAGAGGGTCCTTTGATTTAGATCATTTTATTTGAATCATTGATGTAAATCATTATTTTGAATAAGGGAATAAATGTGTGATTGGGAGGTGTTAAACACTCTGTTTAAGACCGGATGGAGTCTGGATGCTGATAATTACTCGAGCCAAAGGCGAGGGTAATTATCAACATCCAGACTCCAAACGGTCTTAAATAGAGTGTTTAATACCGACCAAGTACATGTTTATTCCATTCATGAATATCTTTTCCGGTAATTTTTTTTTTAACTTTCCGGTACAAAAGTCAAAACAAGTCAAAAATTATTTATTTTTTAACGATTTCAATGAACAAAACACCCCTCTAGCAGTCTGGCTATACAATAGTAAGGCCCTCTGGTAAACAACTTATATGGAGATTGACGCACGTGTCATGCATAACGCAAGTGTACCGGTGTAGTGTGAATTTAGGACTTTGAAATACTGACTCACTGGTAGTATTGCGCATGCCACATGAGGATTGTTAACGTTCAACCAATAAAACTCTGCTGGCATTGGATTTCATGTGACACTGGAAAAGTGTTTAAGACCAGCCAGCCATGTCTTCAACCATTTCAGCCATTTAAAACCAAGACGGGCTCTCCACCAATTGGAATGGGTAAACTGTCTTAGGTATTAATAAATCATGATTAAAATTAAATTAAATAAATTAGATATTAAAAAAAAATCATATAAAGTTCTGTAAAAGTTCAAAAATCTCACAATATGCCTGTAGATATGATTGAGTTTTTAAAGAATTAAGACAATCACTAGGCATCACAATTGAAATGAGACTTGGCTCAAAACTAGATGACTTGTGTCTGACGTGTGATGATTTGTGATGACTTGTGATGGCTTGTGATGACTTGTGACGACTTGTGACTGACTTGTGATGACTTCTGATTGACTTGTGATGACTTTTGAAGACTTGTGATGCCTTGTAATGATTTGTGTTGACTTGTGACTGACTTGTTATGACTTGTGTCTGACTTGTGATGACTTGTGACTGACTTGTGATGACTTGTGATGACTTTTGATTGACTTGTGATGACTTGTGATATTTTGTGTGTGACTTGTGATGACTTGTGATGAATTGTGATGACTTGTGATGACTGGTGACGACTGGTGACGACTTGTAATGACTTGTGACGACTTGTGACTGACTTGTGATGTCTTGTGATATCTTGTGACTGACTCAATTACAACTTATGCAAATGGATTCCGGAGAGCTCCATGGTCAGTCCAGGAAATTGAAGTCAACATCGTTGTGGTCATTCCCGGCCTACTGTTGACATGTACCTCCCAATCTCCGCTTGATTGCTATCGATGTTGGACATCTATCTCGGTTTCACATGTCAATTTGCATTGCCTAATCAATCCAATTATACCAAGGTACAACTCGGCCATGATCTCTCAAACTCACACCGATGAAACCCAGAAGCTTAAGCAGGCACTTTGTTTACTTAGCGTTTGTTAATTAATTGATTTTTCTTAGTCATTTCGCTGTGCTAATGAAGATTACCATTCTAATTAAGACTGATCTGCTTTTGTCCCATCTGCTGCCGTTCTTGTTTGTCGGTGTTGGTAGTCTCCATCGCAGTCTGTAATGTTTGCATTTGTTCAAGACAGAATGCCAGCCCATTCCAACAACCCAACTTCCTGTAATGGAATCATTTACAAGAAGTGCAAATGGCTTTCAGGAATCACCTGATTAAATGTGATGCGATCAAGCTAAATGAGTCGTTTGTCAGGAATTTCTATTTGGAGATACAGGCCAAAATAGGGCCACTTCATCACATCACTCCATCACATCTCTTGCTGTTCCGTCTTCCATAATTTTTTAACTAAAGATGGTATCAGCATGCGGTTTTCACAGCAGCAGTGCTGAGATTGTGCTCTTTTTAAATCTAACTTGTAGGCTACTTCTGTTTTATGAGGGGCATATGATATAAATCAAATCATATTTTTGGAAAGAGAGGCAATCGGGGTAAAATATCCTGCCAATGGACACAACACAAAAGAGCAACCGGATTCAATCTCACTGTACCTTTATTCAGTAATTACAAAGATAACTTGTGGGACCACCGCTGTTTCCTTTTGTGCATGCATATATGATACAAATCAAATTATAAATGCAAATTAGTTCAAAATCGCTCATCTTTGGCAGAATGACAATATTCTTTTCAAGGCAGAGATGGATTAACTATGACACTCTGCCATCTGTTTCTGTTTGTTAAAAAATAATAATGTGTTTTTCCTCCTGCGATCAATAGAGAGTACAGTGAATGGTGTATAATTCTCTACTGGCTCATTCTGTCTGCATAAAGTCACGATAATTTGCATAATTGTATTCCCCAGGTTACTGCTTTTGGGCAAACACATTAGCAAGTGTTGCAGATGTATGCCATGCAAGCCGGATGTATTGCCTGAATAGAATACATATGAAAACACTGTGTGTTTCTCATCCAAAGTCTGCTCAGTAACTGGATGCACAATGTATATGTATGTAAAGCGATGAACCTCCAGTATTTAATGATTTGTATTAAAGGCAGTATTAAAGGGAAAATACAACATTTGCTAACATCGAAAAATAAAACTAACAAGTTTTTATGAAATGCCTTACTAGGATGTTGGTAAATGACAGTCTAAAACATCCTGTAAAATTATGGCACCTGGAGTGAAGTCAATTTCAAGAAAATGGTAATTTTGTATACATTTCCAACGATGGTCGGCCGACCACCGTTGGAAAAACCTAACTATCGTTCAACTACTGCTCCAAATTTACCATTTATTTCAGTCCAAATTTTGTTTGGTATTGGTTACATGTTCATGCACGGGTGCAGGCATAGACTGGTCCCCTTACTTAACAGTTTTCCGGCATCTATAAATTGATCCACTCCTTTAGAGGGGTCAGGGAACAAGACTCCTTGGACATTTTTGTTTTTCTTAGTTTTTCCAGCATTTTCGAACACAAAACTTCAAACATGTGTAACAATATTTTGATCTATTATACTAACCCTTCAAATAGTTCATTTTTGAAAATTACAGCAAAAGCCAATGATGTACATTCCCTTTAAATCCTTCTAACCTTTATGTTTATGTCATTTTTTAATTCAAAAACACGTCTCCAAAAAATCATTGTTTTAATGGCCGTTAGCAGATAAAATTGATATGTTCGGGAAATGAATGAAACCAGGCCTGAAAAGCACCCTAGGCACCGTAGCTCACAAGCCTGAAGAAAGTAGAGAAAAGGCTACAAGAAGAAATTACAGTTTTAGAGGTGGAAGGAAAACCCCAGATTAAAGTTCTGCCAAAAGTTGAAGGGGCGGTCGTTTTGTGTTTTCAGGTGAACTTCAAGTGGTAAAGTCAAGTTATACATTCCCCAATTGTTTTTGTTAGAAACTATGAAGCTTCTTTTAAACCTATGTCCATCATGATTTATTAGTTGACTATTCATTCACCGCAATACAAAAGCTAGATTTTTAAAAAGCATTTTCTCACAAATTTCTTTTAGTAACTTCAATTTAGTTGGAGGTCTATATTTCTGTTACTGAACTCAGAACCCCCATGTGTTATATACTGTTAGAAAGCTCTTGTTCTGCAGAATTCCCTGAAACAAATCTTTCTTTATGCTCAGTTTTTGGTGACCGGTGGCACATCAGAGTTTTATGTCTGCTTGATAAATTGCCGTTTACATGCTTGGTAACATATTTCATTGAAGTTGTTAGGAATTATTATTTTACAGCGAAGTCTGTGCTACCTATAATAACAAATAAACCTAGCTCTCTGTAATGTGTTGCCGTGTTTCAGACCGATGCTTAATGTGTTTGTTGTTGCAATCCATTTTTGCCAAACTAATTGGATTTTTGTCGGGACGCCTTTGAGACCGGTGTTGAAATATGTGTCTTTTTGATATCCGGGGTCTAACAAAAAATAAATTATGCTCACTTTGTACAGTTTTTGTATTTTGTTCTCGGTGAAAATATTCCCTTGAGATTAATTCCACTGGAAAAGGAAGAGAACTTATTTCACAATACTAGGTGTAAAAGCATTTGTCACTGGGGAACTGCGAGAATTGAGTTGAGAGTAGCGTTGGGTTGACAGAATTGTTGTGTTCACACCTTCCACTCTAAATGTATTGGGTTCACACCCTACCAGGGGTATTAAGTTATCAATCACATTGTGCATTTTCATGGGGGTATCCCTAGAATAGACCTACTGCGTTTAGACGGCATCAGAGTGCAGATTAACCAAAGTTCCTGAACTCAGTGACGTAGCACTAGAATATCTCTATGCGCGAAACCATAAGCATATCCACACCATGAAATAGGCCTAGTGTTTAACCCTAACTCCCTAGGCCTTTTTTGCTAGGAAGAAGCCTCAATCCTGCACAATCCTCCAATTGGCCTCATGGAAAACAAGCATATCTCTATCCTCAATCCTGCTAATTCATCCATTATTTCCTGAATATGGTCCGTGGAGGGATGACCACTGCCTGAATCCTGCAAAATCCTGCGGAATGACTGTCAGTATGTTGAGGCTTGGCCAGTGACATCCTGGAGCAGTGCGGAGGATTTCAAGCATAATCCAGGCCTATATTTATGCACGGCTGAGCAAAAACAACACAAGGTCCAGCCCTAGGCCTTGACAATGTGCATCCTACATAATCAGTGACGCATTTTTGCCATGTAACCTCAATCCTCCAAATTCCTCCACTTTGGCAAAGAGGATTTTGAAGGATTCAGGGCGGCTAGGATTAAGGTTAGCACAATGTTCTGCAATAGCTAACACAACCTTTCTGCTAATGAATTAGAAGCTTCCAGTGAAAAGCGATTCTGGTTCAGTTGAATTGAAAACGTGCCCGCTATATGTGGGCCCAGCTTTAAATGCCAGGCTCGTCTTGTCTTTTTCTTCAGATGTCAATATACGTGAAGGTGAGGAATGGCAAGCTGTCCACTCTCTGAAGCTCTTCAAGCACAGTATACGTATGCAACCACAAGGAGAGGATCCAGCAACCAAGAATGTATTCAAGTAAGGGAGATAGTTTGACAGGTGTTTTCACATCACCCTGACGTAAAATTCCATCTTATGAATAGTTAATGCGGTACCCCCTGCTATGAACATCAGATTCGAACCAGCCAACCGATCCCGTTAGGTCGGTGGTCGAGTGGTAAGACGTCTGCACTAGAAAGCAGGAGGTCTTGGGTTCGAGTCCCACCCCAGTGATTTTTTTCCAACTTTCGCTCTAGAAGTAACACACTGAGTATACAGTGTTTATACGTCGGTGAAGGGCAAAACCTAATTTGATTTACATTACTCCGACGCAAAATTCCATCTTATGAATAGGTGTTGTCAAGTTGTTACACATTGAAGATATGTTCATTGTTTCATTTCACAGCTCTTATAACACCGAATTCTACCTCGCCAAGCATCTAGCCTCATTGTCTCAGATGAACACAACGTTTAAATTCATTCTGGAGGAGGAGTCTAGCAGACAGCCATATTTACTGGTAAGAGTTCGATGTGTGTTTCCCTTCAGCGCAAGGCATCTAAGTTGATGTTTCGGGGGGGGGGGGGGGTAGGTGAATGGCCAGTTTGTTTTGGGTTACCAGATTTAACATTTCAACAGACAATTCAACCACTGTTTTATTAATATGTATTCAAGTAGATGTTGAACAGTATTCAAACACGGTATTAAATAGTAGCATACATGTATTTGGACAATCAAAAATCACTTTTAACAGTTTATGTATGTAAATCTTTGGGAGCTGACATTTTTAGGAGACATCAAGGTAGCACCCTTTTTTCAGTTAGTAGCATATAGGGAAACTTTATTTCAAAATTTCATTTTTACAGTCTACAAGTCTTCGGGAGCTGATGATTTTGAGGAGAGACAAACATTTCACTGCGAGATTGGTTTCTTTTCCAAGGGACAGATACCAACCTTGGTTTAGCCGTGGTAGACTCATTTCCATTTAGTAGCATTAATTGTGTTCCACAACACAAAGCTCAACATGTTCCATTAACATAACCTCAAGGTTTATGATGCTTGGTTAGTGAAGGATATGGAATGTCAGCCGGTCAACCAGATACGTCAACCTCAGTCTTCCAAGTGTAGACTTTGAACCTTTGAACCTTCTTATGGGCTCCGTGCGCCAACAAAAGAGGGCGCGTTTGTACCTCTTTTGAGAGCTCTGTGGACGGGACACACAGCGTGCACGTAGTGTATTGGTTCGAGCGAGAAGTAAGCACGACTTCCTGAATGTGCCAAAGCTATTAGCCACCGCGTCTTCACGTGAGCGTCAGGCGTCATCGGCACGCGAATACATTCAAATTCAACTTGTGATGGTCTTCAAGACTAATCCCCGCCTCCATTATCTTTGGATACGTTCGAAATATGCAGTGGATGGATCGGGAACCAGTCTAGGTCATCCCCAACTCTCCTTTTCTGGTCGTTGATGGGGTACTTATGCACGAAGCCCATCGCATTCAAGTCTTTAATTAACTGTTCACATCATAGCCTACTCCCCTGAAGCATCCAGAGGGCCAAACTGTCGTCCTTTTTGTACTAATCTCACTGACTGACTAACCGTCTCTTGTGACTTTGGTTAATGAAGAGAGCTGGGCAGTACTATTGTATAGGATCACCCAATAATGGGCTTTATCCTGCCCATTGTGTATTCCACATGCGTAGTGAATAGACATTCAGAATCAATTTGGGTTATTCACAATCCAGTGCGCCACCAAGAGTTTGCCACCGAGAGTTAATTTTTCCAAGTGCATTGTGGGAGATGGTCGACAAATTTGTAGCGCGGGACATTTGAAATTATTAGTTTTTCCGGCCAGTAGTTTTGTATGCGTATGATTAGAGCATATGTTTGCCCTGTTCTTTTCTTTTTATCAATATGGTGTTTTTTTGTAATGAGGCAGAACGCTATGCCCCAATTTATATCAAATTAGCTCAAGATGCCTACTGACACTCATTCAAATGGGCCATGTCTTGTCGACCGTAAACTTGAAAAATGGACTCTCCATGGCAAACTCTTGGTGGCGCATTGCATTGTGAATCGCCCGAATTGAATATAATTTTGGGAGCTCTGAGACCGGCTTTACTAGGCTTGCCTTGTCTTGACGGATTTGAGATTCGTCCTAGCAATCATGCCTGGGAATGCAGGACTAGCTTGCGTGATTGTTGAGATAGTCATCATCGGATGTTATCATCATTTAGATTACTACCAATTAAGCAAAATGAACCACTCGGGTGGTATTGTACATCATCGCCAGTTGTTATTGTTGACATATTTGAGTGGCATTCAGATGAGCTTATGCCCTACGCATCAATGATAAGTTTGCGGTATATGCTTGCCTCATTACACAGTTCATGGTAGTTAGTTTAAACCCGAAGGCTGCTTGCACGCTTCAGATGCACCAAAATTAACATCGGGTCATCCAGGATTGATTCTGCAGATTAAAGCTGTCCACCTTGATTGGATCAAACGACGAAGTTCACTGTCAAATGAGAAACCATTTGTTTGTTTCTCGATCCAAAGTTTTATCACATCCGTCCTGAACATCACTCCAGCTTGCGAAGTAGATTAGTGTCCAGTGATTGCAAGTTCATTTGCCATCGGAACAGAGCCTAATTGGATAACGAGCTTTAAACTCCCAAATTTAAAACTCTCGTGCAAGAGAGTGATGTCTTGGCGGAGAATTGCCGTAATATGCTCACCGTATATCTTTTTCGATTAGTGTTTTTGAGATTTTACCACTCTGGTTTTCCTCTCATTTAACCTTTCGTGGATCGTTATACCAAATGTAAGTAAAGTCTGTCATAAGTCATGGCCCATTAGGTCGGCGTTGATCTCCGGTTTCCTTGACAGGAGACGACTGAGAATATTTCTTTCCCCCTGGATGGGATGCCAGTCAATCACAGGTTACTCCCCAGCTAATGCCGGTACCCATTTATACCCCTGGGGCCGAGAGAGGGGGTGAAGTGGCTTGCCAAAGGATGCAACAGGCGACCAGCAGCTGGATTCGAACCCCTGAACCTCTGATCAGGAGTCACGAACCCTATTACCGCTAGGTCACACTCCCCCAAAATGTACCCAATAAGTTAATGGATCTCACAAGATTTATTAAGGTAAATTTAAGACTTCATCTTGTGCCTTCAAATTCTGAATGCCCGGAAGTACATGTACTTGTGACTCTTTCTAGATAACGGGGCCAAGACTAGATCACAGTTGCTGATTTGGGCAGTATGGATAATGATTTTTTTTAGTCGGGTTGGTGCATGGGCTCTTCCCTTGCTTCCACCTCTGTGTCCCAGGTTAGAATCCCGTCCAGGCCATGTGTGGATTGGGTTTTCTGTCCCTACCCCAATATTACTTGGATTTCCCCCAAAATATGTATCAGGGTTTGCCTCTTACATGTATTTGTACCTGCAAACCTGAAAATGTCTTCAGTGTCGACTCTCTACTTGTTTCTTCAGGCTTGCAAGCTACAGTGCAATTTGCGCTTTGAGGAATCCTTGGTTTCATCACCAGAGGTAGCACATTACAGTAATGACTGGGCGCATTGGCATCTATCCAAAATAGGGTTAATAAATACAAAGGTTGAAGCCATATTAATTCCGTCATAATGTGGTCAGGGTTGGTACAAGGTTCTTTTAGTGCCGTGGCCTCACATGCCCCAGTTGAAGGATACGGCCCGATGATAATTAAGCACACAGACCAAAGCCTGGTAAATGATATCACAAACTAGATGATGCTGATCCAATCTTAGTTATGCAGCCACAGCAGTTGAACACGACATTTGTACTGCCTTGTGCAGACCAGTAATTAAGTTCGCATATAAACACCCCAGCGACAAATACCTCCACTTCAAGAAGAAACAAACTTCGGGAAAGATACTCACAACTCTCAAAGGTTTTCAAGACACGCATCAAATTAAAGCTTGATTAATCCTCTTTTACAATCTGTTCCATTTTTGTGGGGTTGACAGATTTTTGGTGATTGGTCCATCCATAGATGACCACCCTTTTAAAGCAGCTCTGAAGTCCATCGTCATTTTGAAACTGATCCTTCCACCCCATTGTAGAAAACACCGACTCTGCGGTCCAATTTAATCCACGTTTTCTCAGAAACTTAAGTTTTCAAATCCAGATCAGACCTCGGACTCTCACATTCTACAAAACCCTCGAATACAAGTGCCACAAAACTCTCCATTAAGCAAGAACACTTAGGGGAATAACAAATGTAGATTTGCTCGACCTAGCAATATGGTATAGGCATGTTTACTGGTCAGCAACCCTAGCCGGGAGTAACCTTCATGACTTCAGTAATGTGCCACTTGCTCTGCCAGCGACCCCTGCAGTACATTCGTATTGACCGAGCATAGCGCTTGATAAGGGACGGTTTCTACAACGGCTGTCCAAAGCTATGGCTACGTCTGTTTTCAGCATGTGCCCACGTAGTTGTAACCGGCGTATGCCTAGACATAGCCGTAGACAAGAAGTTCGGATGCGCCGTGATATCCCATCCCATCCCATCTGGAGATGTTCGGCGCCAATTAGACAAACAGCCAGACATCAGCTGTAGACAACACCATCCACTGTAGTGGTTTCGGAGAAAGAAAAGGTCTGCAAAATAACACGGATATGGGCTCCTGAAACCACCGGGAATACGAGGCATCTGTCATGAACCAAAAGAGGTTGCTGCGGAGTGCTAATAAATAAGAAGCACCTCAAATACTTCCTCTTCTAATGGCTCGTAGGATGTCAAAGAAGTGTCTCTGGTGTATTCTATTACACCAGAGACTTGTGTCTCGCCGTCTTCTCTCGACCCATGATTGGGTTGGCTACGGTCAGGAACGTGCGTGAAAGAGTAGTCTGAGAGAATTACACTTTTACTAAATCATGTTAGCACTGCAGTGTATAATGGCGTGTGGTAATGAGATAGAACTCCTCGACACAATGGCTAATGTTGTTATGGTTAATGTCTTAAAGGAACATGTAGCTCATCCATCGAAAAGCAAATCTGCTGCTGCTGCGCATGTGCGTAATACATTGTATGTACAATATCGGGAGTCAGATTTGCGCAGTGGTTACTGTCCTCGCCTTCCACCTCTCTGTGACCCGGGTTCGATTCCTGCCCGGACCACATGTGGATCGGGCTTTCAGTCCCTGCCTGATTCCATGGGTTTTCCCTAGAATATTCTTATCTGAGGGTTTTCTCCCACCTCTAAACCTGAAGTTTCTTCTCATTGTCTTCTCTCCACAGGTTTCTTCAGGCTTATGAGCTACAGTGCCCAGGGCACTTTTAAGGAATCCTTGTTTTCATTACCAGCAATACCTGGGCGCAGTGGCATCTATATCTAAGGGTCTATAACCATAAATATATATTTAAACAAAATATCAACAAATGCACATTTTAAACGACATATCAACTAATGCATATTTTAAACGAAATATCAACAAAGGAGCAGACACAATGCTTTGGTATAGTATGACCCC